CTATGGGGTTGACTCTTGTCTTTGTCCTGCATGGGTCACCGGCAGGTTTGTAGTCAGTGATGTCGACTTGCATGCATGTCTGTTTTCATATGCTTTTGTTCTGTTTTCATTAAGGTATCCAATAGGAGAAGCTGCTACATCATATGAACTATTTATCTAAAGAAATAATTACTGATGGAGTGTTAAAAGGAAACATTAGGGCTTTATTTATAGTTATAACAGTTATATGTTCGATACATGTTCATGAAGTTTTTTGCATTGTTTAATGCAAAAAACTTCTCTCACATAATCTTTATTCTTGGCTTTTTAGCACCTTCCATAATGAGTTGCATCAGAGCTCTGTCACTTCATATTATATAAAATAAATAATTCCAACATACAGTATATATTACTGTTCATTCTGCATAATTTATATAAAAACATTCTTGAATTGTTGGTGACAGTCACAAATGAAATGTCTTATACAGTCTGACTTTGCATGTGAAAGAGCATTAAATAAGTGTCTAGTAAGTTGACTGAAACATGAAAGGGACAGACATGGCTGCCATTCATGTTTCCCTCCTCCTGTTGGATCAGGGCCAAAATGTGAGATTAAAAAAACTTGAAAATGTAGAAAACATATCTGAAAGTAAAGCAAAAAAAAAAAATCTGCAACTGAAGAGAAAAATATTTGAACTTGAATATAACAGATTTGAATCTGATAACGTATCATCTGAAACTGAAAAAAAAGGGTTGGTATTTTTAAGCCCTAGTGATAATAGTCCCTTAACAGGGCCAAAAAACCCTCACACTAAAGAAGAAATAGTAATAAGTCCCATCAAATTAATCAGCGAACCCAGCACCACAAGGCTATCTAAACTATTTTTACCATTGAATACCATTTTTACCATGTTTCAAGGAATAGGCTTCAAAATAGGCCCAGGGCTTAAGGGGTTAATTAAAAGCTTAATTACTTAAAACCTATTTTTATTTTAAATACACTTTTGGGTTTTTCAAATTCTAAGTTCTAAATTTGACATCCAGTTTCAAAGTTTTTTTTCAGTAATCTGAACATTTTGGCCCTGTTTGAGCTCCATACCCCGGCTGGAAAACAAACATCATGGATGAAGATGTTTGGTAGACAGGACACATGGCGTGTTTGTGGATTTCATTAGCATTTACACTTTTTAGGTTATAATTCCATTTTGCTAACATGATAACTGCATTTTCATCATTTATTTTGCTGTGGTTTTCACAGTGTTAGCTGGTGAGAGGAGATTAAAATACTGTTTAAACATCAGTTGGTGCATGATTCTTTTATGCTACACCAAACATAAAAAAATAACCTTTGGGAGCAGTTAAAAAACTCTTGTTGTGGACTTCATCATCGTCGTCTTCCTCCCCTTATCCGGGTCCGGGTCGCGGGGGCAGCATCCCAACTAGGGAGCTCCAGACCGTCCTCTCCCCGGCCACCTTCACCAGCTCCTCCGGCAGGACCCCAAGGCGTTCCCAGACCAGATTGGAGATGTAACCTCTCCAACGTGTCCTGGGTCGACCCGGGGGCCTCCTGCTGGCAGGACATGCCCGAAACACCTCCCCAGGGAGGCATCCAGGAGGCATCCTGACCAGATGCCCAAACCACCTCAACTGACTCCTTTCGATCCGGAGGAGCAGCGGTTCTACTCCGAGTCCCTCCCGAATGTCCGAGCTCCTCACCCTATCTCTAAGGCTGAGCCCGGCCACCCTACGGAGGAAACTCATTTCGGCCGCTTGTATCCGCAATCTCGTTCTTTCGGTCATTACCCAAAGCTCATGACCATAGGTGAGGATTGGGACATAGATCGACCGGTAAATCGAGAGCCTGGCTTTCTGGCTCAGCTCCCTCTTCACCACAACAGATCAGCTCAGCGTCCACATCACTGCAGACGCCGAACCAATCCGCCTGTCGATCTCCCGATCCCTCCTACCCTCACTCGTGAACAAGACCCCGAGATACTTAAACTCCTCCACTTGAGGTAGGACCTCTCTCCCGAGTTGGCAAGTCATCCTTTTCTGGTCGTTGTTGTGGACTTCTCTTTGTTTATTCATTTGTCTCTGAAACTGCTGATTCGGAAAATAAATGAATGAATGTTTCCATCTTTTCATTTGAAAACCTCTAATGGACTAGGAGTTTTTTTCACCAGCTCCCAGTTGCAGCTCAGGAACCTAACCTGTTTGGTGTTTTTTGCACAAGCAGGCAGACCTGTGGGCCTAAGAGAACATTAACATCAACTGGCACATAACGCACCATCTGTGATTGAGGCTAATTTTCCATTTTGAGCACAGAGAAATGTTCTTTATGTGTCTAGGTGATCTGATTTTTCCATCCCAACTCCAAATGAGCTAAATGGGGCCAATTTTATCTTGGAATAACAGAACTCAGTGAGGACAAGGGCTGACACTAATCTGCACCCAAAGTCTGCAATGATCCAAGCTGCTTCAGACATCTTTTTGGGTTTAGATAGTGGTTTAAGAACAAAATCTCATTGATAGATTATATTCTAGTAGAAAGAGCATGTCAAGTTGCATTTTGACGGCTTATCTCGTGGTCTGCCTGTATCTGGTTTTGTTCTACATGTCTGTGTGTTTAACTTTGGTCTGGCTGTAAGGAGGAGACACATTCCTGCGCTTCAGGATGCTCTGATTCTAGGTGTTTTGTATCATACTCTTAACTGGAAATCTCATATAAAATATATGAAACAAAAATTGTGTAAAAGTATTAGGAAAAAAACTTTTCAAAAATTTCAACACTCCAGACATTATATAATTATTTTGTTATGTGGGGCTACACAAACAACCAACACTAATAGTCTGTGTGAAAATAGAAACCCATGAGAATTTCATACAAAACAAATGTTAGAGAACAGACTAATAATCTGTTCAAATATTTTGAAATTAAAAGGACTCAAAGCCAGACTTCAAAGCTAGAAATTAATACCAATTAATTAATGAGATTAATACCAATTGATTTACAAAGGTTTCTTTGTTTTATGATCAGCTGACAGAAATATTACAAATAGGGTTAAAAAAACATTAATGCATACTACCTAAATGATAATGCATATATCTCTGTGAATGGAGTATGGGTGTGTATTGGCAAGAATGCCGTGTGGTATCTTCAATTTGGTTTGGTCAAGAACTTTGCCGCTGCATTCTGAACCAGGAAGTCTGGACAGAGCAGCTTTGCCAATGCTATAAAGGCAGGAGTTGGAGAAATCAAGCCGGGATTACATGAAGGTGTGGATCACCGATTCTAGAAGACTCAGGAGAGGCTGGAGTCTGGAAATTTGCCTAAGGTGGTAGAAACAGGATTTAACAGTATTATTGACCTGAGCACCAATCTTTAAAGCGCCCCCCCCCCCCCCCACCAACCCACCCCACCCCCCAAATTAACTTTTTTTTGCTGATAAACTACATAAATGAGTGTCTAATCATGCGGTAGACATGTGTAGTCAATAATTTTGCACTTTAGTGTATCTTAATTAAAATTAAAATTTTCTGCCTAAAGCTGTCAGTGTTGTGCCATCTTCAGGTAAAAACTCAACACTGCATTTGAATTTAAATCTGCCATCACTATTGGTTAAAAGGTACAAAATGACGTTAGCTGGTACATTATGTCACAATGCCGTTGTGACCCTGTGTGTGTGTATTTGTTATCGGCTCCACCCTCTCGGTCTGCCAGGCAGCAGCATTTGTTGCATTTTACAAACAGGAAGTGGGAGTGGCGTAAGACTCTGTTAGAGGGTGACTTGCTCTTTAAGGACGTGTCCATTTTTACTCCAAGGTTGGAAACAATCGAGGTCACATGAGGAGAGACGGAGGAGGTCAAGTGGTGGGGCCGCTCTAACATTATTACGACTGAAAACATTAACTCCGTTTTAGAGTCATTCAGATGGAGGAAGTTTTCAGCCAGCCACTCTTTGATGTTACAAAAACAACCGAGCAGAGGTCTAGAAGAGTCAGTGGGCTTGAGAGAAAAGATTTGATAATCATCTGCATATTAGTCATAGGAAACTGCATGCTGTCTAAAAATGTCTCCTACGGGCAGAAAATAAAGGGAAAACAGTAACGGGCCGAGGATGGTTCCTTGATGGACACCCCAGGGAATGGAGACCAACTAAGGGTCCTGGTAGAAAAGTATGACCTAATCCAGTCGAGGGAGAAACCTGTGACGTCGGCTCATGAATGGAGCCGGGAGATCAGGATGTTATGATCAATCGTGTCATGGGCAGCAGATAGATCAAGGAGAATCAGAACCACATGGACCCCTGAATAGAAGACCAAAAAGATGTCACTGAACACACGTACATGAGCAGTTTCAGAGCAATGCTGGTGTCTAATACTCGATGGAGAAATGTCCGTTACCTGATGGTCACGCAGATGGCAAATTAGTTTTCATGCACCACCTTTTCAGGCACCTTAGATAGAAATGGTAATTTGTAGATTGAACAGAGACTAGAAAAAAACAGCAGGATCAAGACCAGGTTTTTTCCCAAACATTTCTGTGTTAAACTGGCAGATGGATATTGCTTGCAATTTAGACTGCAACGTATACAACCATGAAAAGTTGTTGAGAATGGTATACGGTGTATTTATTCTGTTTTCGCTTGTGTAAACAATAAGTTAGTGCCTGTGACACAATATCATTTGTCAAATCAAGTGAAAAACTGAAATGGAATAAAACGAGATTTAATTCAGGAGAATTCATCCGTTTGAGCTTTCCTGCCTGACTCAGGAATGTTTTTGGAAATAAATTTTCTCATGAGCACTTGGCTCACTCATCGTCCTAAAGGGTCTCCGCATTTAGAATAAAATCCAGAATGTTCAAATGTTATCATTAAAACCACTAAATCAACCTTATTTCCAGTATGTAGTCAGTGGTTTAACTAGCAGCTGGCTTCTTGTAGAAAAATGCATACTTGTGTGGAAGACATCAGCTTTGACCTCGAGAGTTACAGAAATAAATAAACTTGACAACCATCTTTACACATGGGGCTCTTTTATTCATAGTTGGCTTATTAATTCTTAATACTACAGCTGCGGCTCGGGGCTACGTTAATAGGTCGGATGAACACATAAAGGGGAAAGCCCAACATCATCATCGCTATCATCTTCATCACAAGGGGAAGAGGAGGAGATGGGGTAAGGCTGCCCCAAACTGCTCTGGATAGTTGAGCAGGACATAAACACTTCCAGGAAATCACACGAGGCACGTTCAAGTGCACTTTAGCTCTTCCTGAATGAAGGAAATGTTCTGCTTTAAACAGTTTTCTGCAAATCTGAACATGTGATGGTGTGTTTTTGTTTATTCTAACGTACATCACATCAGAAAAAAAAAGGCAGTGAGTCACTCAGCAAAACGAAGGGCTCCTCGTGCGTCGTCTGCTATTTAACCTGTAAGTTGAGCTTCCCTTATTAACCATTTAATCTAGCTAAGACAGCATTCAGGTGCAGCTTTACTCCAAAGGGAGCGGAGGTATCTCGTTGCTGAATCATGTGATCACAGTGGGGCCGGAGCGTCCAGTCCTTTCATGGAGCTGGGAGACTTTTAGGGCGATGTCTACTAGAGGAGCCAGCATCACCTGGACAGAGACAAAAAAAAAAACCATGATATGAAGCTTACACACATCTCCTAAAACAGGTAGGTTTTCATAGCAACACACTGCATAAAAGGTGGTGAAGGCTTCGATCTGTTACGGCCTAAAATCAAAGTATTTAGTTTAACAAATAGCAGTTGTTGCTAGTTCTAGGAAGCTGTTCATAATGCAGTGACATCTAGTGGTGATTTAGTGGATTACAGCTAAACTACTGTTTTTTCTCAATTTTCCACAATTACGGTTAAATTCATCACTAATAGCAAATGTAAAAGATGAACATTGGCTTAAAACACACTGCACTTGTGTAACATCCAGGCATAAAAGTCAACATGGTTGAGTCTAATGGGCCATTCCCATCTGTACCGGGTCAGCCCGGGCCGGGTAGCGTAGGTTGTTTACATATCTGGGTGGCCTGGTATTTTTCCGGGCCAACCAAGGCTCATTCTCAGCCCTCTTCTCGAGGGGGTCTGCTTCAGGCCGACCAGGGCCAACACACCCACTGCTGACAGCAAATTCACACCTTCCATTAGAGCAAGCCTCTGATTGGTGGGTAGAATCAGTCCACATGGGCTTAAGACAAGGATGTGTGGAATCAACCGGGCCAGGCTGGGGCCGACTGGGGCTACCCGGCCGGGCTGACCCGGTACAGATGGGAATGGCCCATTATAGATCAGTTAAAATTGTAGGTAGAAATATAGATATTTAAATATATATCACACATTGAAACCCGATTTTTTTTTTAAACAGACTGCAGAATTGGAGAAAAAGCTAAAGGGGGGAGCGGCTCAATGGCGCCCCCCAAAGTCTCTCTAAGGAAGAGCCAATCACCTTATGGACAAAACTCATTTTGACCGCTTGTATCTGCAATCTCATTGTTTTGGTTACGACCAAAAGCCCGTGACCAGAGGTGAGGGGAGGAGCGTAGATCGACTGGCAAATCGAGATCTTCACCGTCCGCCTCAGCGCTCTCATCACCACGACAGGCCGGTACAACGCCTACATCAATGCCTGCATCACTGCAGACGCAGCACCGATCTGCCTAGCAATGTCCCGCAACCAGACATGTAACTGTATATTTTTCTCAAAGTATAAAAAAATTAACTCCATGAAATTATATTTGCAAACTATAGATTGACTTATCTGGAGATTAAAATGATGAAATGCGTTTTCTATTGGTGCGCAGCTCAAATCTACTCTTCGTCAGCCGACGGATTCATTCCCTGTTGGGGTTTTTCTGTCAAGTGAAGAATTTGAGCCAACATGTTTCTGCTCATCACTCCATTCACACCGCCTGTGCTCTGAGGAGGATAAAGTACCGTTTTTTGCTCCTCTATCTTGTACTGAATCACCTCCCTGTCCACACCACTCAGAACCACTTTATACAGTAGAGCGCCTCCCTGGAACAAGTGCTCTTTATCTTCCCTCTGTGTTACGTTCCTCTCTCTTCATACATGCCCTGATAAGCCGTCATAACTCAAGTTTTAGCCAAACATCTCCATCATCTCCATCATCATCATCATCACCAGAGTGGAATAAAACGTGTTTTAGAGAACTCCACCCAGTGAGAGCTGGCACAGACAACAGTTGAGTTCAGCTCTGGTGCTCCTGAGAAAACCTTTCCTGTTCCATCGGTCGATACGGCGACCGACTTTATTACTTCTCTAAGCGATTGTTTCTATTGGTCCTGGTTAAATTACTTTACTGTTCTCTATCTGATGACTCATGGTTCTCCCGCTGGATCTACACAGCTGGGATTACTCCTGGCTGTTCTGACCTGTGGATCCTGGTAAATTTTCTGGGGATCGTTCTCATAGCTGTCTATGTAGAGCCTGATCGTCGCTCCCGCACTGCCTGTGCCGCTGAGGCGGAAAATGATCCTGGAACCGTCGGAGAAGATGATCCGGAGGCCCTGAGAGAGTAAAACAAAAACAAGGGTCGGGGTGATGAATGACAAAAACATGGCGGTACAAGACATGAGGCATCATGGATGCATGGACACATGGGTGTGACCTACTCGAGTCAGACCCTTCAGACAATTTCTGAATTCAAAACTTACAAACAATACTTCAAATAAAGTTGGAAAATCTTAACTAATTCACTGCCATTGACGACTAAAGTCATCATTTGCATGTTTTTATTGTGTGGGCGTCGGAACGAGCCTCCGCACCGTGAGAACAAACATCTCAGCTCTGAAGCCGATCTTCATCCGCATATGTCACACGTCACGTGATCAGGAAGCAGAAAATCCATGCGTTAGGAGATCGTTTTGGGCCGCTGCTGTAAAAAAAAAAGTGAGGCGCGAACCGGAAAAGCTTCTGCCGATCACAATTCAACAACGGATTATGAAAGAACGGATAAAGCTCGAAACGCGCAGATTCTTCCTGATGTAAGAGACGAGTCTCCGCTTTGTTTTGGTTGTTTTGGCGTCGACATCATCCTGGCGCGCAACGTTCTGTGACTCATAAAAAAACAGTAAAAACTGAGAAACGCTGACAGCGAATGAGTTCAAGGATTAAATAATCCCTCTATTGTTTTTTACTGGGTTTAGTTCTGCTGACGTATTTAACAGCATTTCCTTTATTTACTCAGATTATCCACTCCATTATTTTCTCTCCATCACAGAAGATCCTAACATAAATCTACAGGAAGTAGACGTCTCATGATATTATTGGACCACCCCTGTGTTGGTGAAGAAAATGAGCCACAGACTTGTGTGTGTCAGCCAGTGGTGCTGAAACAAACTCCCACAGTGGAGCAGAGGGATGTTTTAGTGGCAGAAAGTACAGAAATTCAGCACTGAAAAAGATATTTTCCCCCGGTGCGAGTACTGACTGAATGTTCTTGGTCATTACTAAAGAGGCGTGGCGTCTCAGTACCCAGACGTACTCCTTACCTGGTTTTTGGACACACTTCCATCCACTGGGTCTGTGTAGGCAAAGTTATCAGCAACAGAAACCGCGTACGTCTTATCGCTCGATGAGAACTGCTTTCCGACGAAGGATGGCTCGAACATTTGGGTCTCCAGATCTTTGATCATCTTGTTAGCAGCGTCTGAGTTGACCTCCTCGTAGTCGTACCTGGAAGTAGAACACAACTTAGTACAAACAGAAACGTGGTCCGGGGAAGAACGTTTGTTTTTACTCAGAATTCAAAAACCTGGAAGGGAACGAAGCGTTTCTCCACACACCCATCTCTACCTTCTTCTCATGCTGGTGTTTCTACCATGATTACCTTTTATTTGTCATTATTTACACACAATTTTTAAATGAAATTTTCCCTTTTCTCACATTTGTTATCGTTTTTAAAAGTAATTACTTATATTTTTTAATGCTGTTGTTCTTGGGAAGCACCTCCTGATTCTTACCTTGAATATATAAAAAATAATTTAGTGATGCACCGATTTTTGGGCTGATACTGATATCGAGATCACCGTTATGGCCGATGACCGATACGATATACTGATATTAATGCTTGAAAATCAGCAGATTTAGTACAGAATGAAAATGATTAAAGCTGAATTTACGTTATCATGTACACACGAGGTCAAGGCAACTTTATACCCACGGGTAAATTTGATTTGCCATGTGACACGAGAATTAGCGCCCAGGTTACACACAGAGACACACAGCCACAAAGCACACACATCAATGAAGAATAAACAATAAGTAAATAAAATAAAATTGCCACGCCAGACTCAATTCTTATTGAGTAACGTTACTGCCTCGGGAATAAAGCTTGATTTGGACGTCTTGGTCCTGCACCTTGGCACAATAAATCTCCGTCCAGATGGCGGGAGAGTAAACTGGCCATGCAGTGGGTGGCCCGTGTCCCTAACAATAGCTTTAGCAATCCTCTCTACCGTACAGCTGTGCCACACTTATCCCGGTTTTCCAAGCAGACGACCGAACCACTTTACTATCCTGTTTAGCGGTTCCTTTTGCTTAAGATTTGCCCGACCAAACCATGAGGCTAAGGAAAAGGATAAAACACTCTCAATAAAAGAACAATAAAACATGGACATTATAGTCCTGTCCACATGGAATGAGGCCAGTTTTCTAAGGCAGTACAAACGCTGCTGGCCTTTCTTACCCACTGCATCAGTTTTCCTCTAAATTCAGCTTCCTATCAATAATTGTCCCCAACACACACATTTATGGTTCTGAGACGATTTCATGCACTGTTCACATGACTAAACAATTACACATCACCCCCCTCACCTTCTCAAACAGGCAAACAAATGGAGACGAGATGGAAAAAATATCGGTTGTTAATATCGGTCCAGTTTTATTTATCGAACCGATACAGATTTGTTAAAAAAAGACTAACATCAGCTGATACTGATATTGATGCCGATATATTGTCCATCCATCCCTAAAATATATTCATTTTTTACCCGGAAGTGATTGAATTCTTCAACTTGCCACCAGATGGCAGCAAAGCACCATTTAAGACCCCAACACTGACCTGGTGAAGAAGTTCCTGCCGAATTTCTGCCAGTGATCCTTCATGATCTCCTCCACACTCTGTTTCCTGGTGGCTAGGATGGAAAGCCACGCGAGCACGGCCCAAAGCCCGTCCTTCTCGCGGATGTGATCCGAGCCTTCGCAGAGAAAGGTCCGATTAGTGGGCGAGTTGGCGAGGGACGCAGAGTTCTCTTACACCGAACACTTGTCCTCACCTGTGCCAAAGCTTTCCTCTCCACACAGTGAGAGTTTACCGGCGTCCATCAAATTCCCAAAGAACTTCCAGCCGGTTGGAGTCTCGTACAGCTGCATCTGCAGCGCTTTGGCCACTCTAGGACAAGTTCCAGCACATAATAAACCACATTAGCCAAATTAAAATCATTTACAGTTTTTCATTCTGCTTGGTGAGGAAAAAGAAAAGATTAATACTAGATTTGTTTGTTTTTACCTGTCCAGGGCTCCGCTGGTGGGCATGCTGCGAGCCAGACCTTTGACCCCGGTCTTTTTGAAGTAAGGGATGCTCGTAATGTTGGCGGCGATCACAGCTACAGAATCAGAAGGGTTCACGAAGAAGCCGTGTTTACCGAGCACCATGTTACGGTCCTGGAGAGGAACACGGTCAGGGTCAACAAACACTAACAGGATATGACAAAGATCAGATTCCTGCACTGTGGTAATATTGTGTTTATGAGGGCTGGAAACTCATTAAAGGGACTTAACGGAGTTTTGAATGGTTATGTTCGCGATTGCCCCCTCAGGCCAAAAGCGTAACGGCAGCTTCAATAGTAGGCTCGTGCACGAGGCGCGCATGCTGTACGTGCACACTCCTTAACGAAAATAACAGCTGAGACAGTCCCGTGTGTGTGTGTGTGTGTGTGGCCCGGAGGACAGAGGACAGGAGAATGCGCAGCTAATTAATTAAATAATTTGGCTCTGTACCTTTCTCTTCAGCACAGCCGACAAAGGTTTAAGATGGGTCAGTCCTCCTGCATGCTCAGATCATTCCCTTCCCTTGCTTGAAAAATTGTTCCAAAATGAAAGTTGAACCCACATCATTTTATCTGTGAATTCAATGCCGTTCGGCGAGTCTCAAATAAAAATTTGGGCATCTTTCTGTAAAAAAAATATACCATTAATGTAAAAAAGAAACTCTACATAAACTATATTCACATCCAGAATCGAACCTGGGTCTTCTGCACGAGAGTCCGACGTCTTACTAGGTGAGCTAAAACACCAGTAACGTCTTTTTATCGGTAACATTTATATCCTTGATGACAGCTGAAACAACGTCCAAAGAACGGTTTGGAACAAAAATGGCTATTTTGTTGCTAATTTGCAGGAAATATATAGAAGAAAGTAGCTAAGGGTCCTCAGAAATGTAGCTAGGTTCATCTCTAGGCATTAGGAACAGCAACAAAGTCGCTGAGTTGGCACTACCTCACTCTCTGCTGCTAAAGCTACGGATAGCAAATGCTACGGGCGATGCCTGAGCGTGAACGCGCATGAAGCAGCCTGCTCGACCCGAGCAGCTCTCTTTTTCTGTGATTTTACAGAAAAACAAGCAATCACAGTAAAAATGCCAGGGCTCATTCTACAGGACCAGGGCATTGCAGGAGAATGTAGGAAGAAGAAATTTATTATTTCTATACATGTTTTGGCTGTCAAACTTCCATAATGCCCCTTTAAGGAAACAATAAAACTATTGAAGAGAAAACGTGAGTAGAGAATAATTCCTCTTACACCATCACCATCGAAGGCGGCTCCAAAGTCAAACTCTCCACTCTTCATGGTGTTGACCAGGTCAGCAGCGTAGGTCAAGTTGGGGTCAGGGTGGTGGCCACCAAAGTCCTCCTGGGGGACACAGTTGACAGCCGAGTTGGCTGGAGAACCCAGCTCTTCGCAAACTATCTTCTTGACATAAGGGCCGACCACTAGAGGGAGACAAGTTGTTCACTTTCCATCCTCTCACTGTAAAACTGATTGTTGATTTTCCATACCTCCGTGCATGGCATCCAGTCGGACGTTAATGTGATTGGCTCCAGAGAGAAGGTCCTTCAAAGCGGCAAAGTCAAAGATTCCCCGGAGCATCTCGGCATAGGCATCCACCGAGTCAACGATCTCCACTGGGACAGATCCAGGGAAAACATGGATGTTTTAGACAGACTGGTGCGCAAGTCACCGTCTTGATCCAAAGAATATTTTTAATTAAAATCTGTTGTGTTTATAAATAAAGATGGATAAATCTCATTTTTCTGGTGATAATTGACTGAATATTTAAGAAACTGATTTTTATTCCTCTAGTGAACTGTACCTATGAAGGGCTTAAAGGTGTCCACTTCAAAGGTCTGCTTGCCAATCGTAGACAGATCCACCTTGAGCTCCGGGCAGATGTGATACTCCTGCAGAGCTTTGCTGACCTCAAAGATCTTATTGGTGATACCTTCAGGAGCAGGTCCTGGAGATGAAATAAATGAGCGGAATTACGTACAGCCCGAAATATCTGGTCAAAAGGTTGAGGTAAAAGTAAAAGCGTAAGGTTTGTGACTTCCCTCACCTCCACTGGAGATATTATACTTGATGCCAAAGTCTCCGCTGGGACCTCCTGGGTTGTGGCTGGCTGTGAGGATGATCCCACCCACTGCTTTTATCTTACGGATCACACAGGAGACGGCTGGGGTGGACATGATGCCATTCTGACCAATCACAAGATGACTAATCTGGAAAAACAAACACGAGTTAAAGAAAAGTTTGAGTTGCTAACCTACACTACACTAACCTTGAACCTTTTTAAGTTTTTCAATCACACTGCATCACCACCTCAGGTTGTTTTGTGTAAATACGAGAGCTGTTTCTTCAGCTCAGTCAATAATACCATTACCCAACACGTTATGTCTTAATGTGGACCTAAAATTGCAAGAACTGTTGAAATAAGACGTTTCTGAGGAAATCAGGCGGACCGACTCCGAAAGAAACTGTGTCTGTCTGCGCTACGCTAGAGAGCAACCACTGTTGTCCTGTTTAGTGGATGGCTTCTGCTTTCTATTGGCAGAAACTTGATGCATAACATGTGTATGATGACTAAATTAAAAACCCAATTTTAAAGCAAAAATTGCCTTGCACGTCTGCAAATAACTGCTGGTGCTACCAAGCTTACTGAAGCAAGCAAATTTACCACTTAATCAACACAATTTCAAACCAACCATTCTGCTCTTGTGAGAAGAAATTAACACTGAGGCTTGCTTCTTGCCCACAGGCTGCACTTTGAATGTATTCTAGATCTGATGGTGCCACTTTCCTTATCCGTGTGTGTAGGGCTTTAGTCTCCAGTTATTTACAAGTACTTGCTTCCAATTTAGACGCAGACCTTGGAATTCTGAAATAAAATTATTACATTGGTAAAATTTACAATCTTACTGTTTTGTTGCAAAACATAGATTGAATATCTGGCACTCTTTGTGTTGATGGTGCAAAAAGTAAAATTATATTTAAAAAAAAAATAAGTATACGAGACAAACATTTGCAGACGAGTTCTGAAATATTGAGTTTGAATTGAAAACCTTCCTCGTGCATAAAATAATGTTTATTCTAGGAAGAAAGAAAGGACTCATGGTGGACATGTGATTGTGAACTAGACAATAACGTCTTTTGTCCCTAGGGTGTCTGGATGTTTTACAGACACTTTCACATATAAATTTAGAACAGTTCTTTTAATTCTTTAAAGCAGTTTGAGTAAGGAGTAATGTCTTTTCTAATAAAAACAAGCCAAGCAGTGCGATTTGATTATGTGTTACAACGGTTTGCCAAAAGCTTCTGCATAGAAACGTGACTGGGTTCACGTCACGCCCCCCAACTCACAGCCTAACGTGAAGCTACCACGCATCTTTTATGCCACATTAAGCACTAGTTTTACTCATTTATATGCTGATAAGACAAAACACGAGACTTTCTAAACCTCGTAAATGAGCTCATCTATAAAAGGGTGAAGCAGCGCTGCCGTGTCAGTGTGTAAATGTCAAAGGTTGAAATGCAACCTTTCAGCCCCCCAAAGTCAAACATTAGACTGCAGATCGAAAAGCACGCAGGTGTCATCGACACAATTGTGATTTTCCTGCAAAGAATCGTCAAGTAGCACTACAGCAAGGCAAGTTAGTGCCGTCATTCTTGGTCCAAGTGGCTTGTTTATTTAAGAAGAAGCTTGTGGTAAGCTAGCTACACTTTTAGCATTACTAAAAATTAGCTATTCATTTAAAATGGTTTTTTTATTAAATAATTTAAGTAGACATGCGCGTATTATGGTTCAAATGAACCCACTTAAGTTGGTTAACCTCTCCATTCAATGTGTTCCACTAAAATTATCATTCATAAACAAACAACCTTGACAGCTCTTAATTCAAACTCGCTCGCGGACATGCTAGCCTTGTAGCTAACTAAACATTAGCGTTAGTTCCCATCAGACTGACCCCGTTGGCTGCAGCAATCTGAACGATCAGCTGAATGGCGTCTTTCATGAAAAACCGTCCATCTCCTCCCACCACCAGAGTGGCCGCCTGGCGCTCAGCAGGCTCGACGACAGAGATGATACTCTGGATGAAGTTTTCCGCATAGTGCTGGTTCTGCTGGAACACCGTCACCCGCTTCCTCAGACCGCTTGTCCCGGGCTTCTGGTCCGTGTACGGCTTGGTCTTGACTGTGGTAATTTTCACCATTTTTGACCTCCAGAGAGCGCCGATGGTCACCCTGTGAGTGATACGCAGTGTGGTCCGAGACAGAGTCAGCGTCTGCAGGCTTCACGCACACGACGGACAACTCCCCCATCAGACACCCGCCCCCTCTGTTAAAGGGCAAGCAGAGATCAGCAGCACCAATACCTCAGGGATGATGGGCTTCTTGGTATGTTCTTATAACTTCATTTATTTATTAGCAGAAAAGAAAACAATCCAGAGAAGCTATTTCTGTTAAAATCTCCCATGTAACTCACTTTCCTTGATTAAAGCGCATACAAATTAAAATAAAGCCAGCCTTATGTTGGCTGAAGTGGCCAATTGCACTACTGCTAAAATATAAAGTTGATTGATCCCAGTGGCTGCCTGGTGGGATCTGTGTCCCTGGGCTCTGTTGGGTCCCCGGCGGGGCTGGTCGCCCCTGGGTCCCGGGTTCTGGGCTCGGCTGGCTCGGGGGTGGGAGGCAGCGGGCGGGCCTTTGGGCTTGCCGCTGATATCTCCCGGGACTCTGCCGGCTGTTGGTTGTGGCCCCCCGGGGCAATCCTCTGCGCCTCTCGAGAGGGGGCAGGGGCTTTTCTGGTTACAGTCTCCCTGGGGTCCCTGGGCTCTGGGGCAGCTCCTGGATCTCTGGGACTTGGAGCTCCCTCCATCTTCTACACATCTCTGGGGGGCAGATCTGTGGCCCCTCACACTCTCTATTGGACGCTCCTATAGAGAAACCTTACAAAAACAAGCGTGTGTACACACACAGGTACTCACATGGTGCTCTCATAAGTATGGACTTAGGCACATTCAACACGTCTTAAGGCTGTGGTTGGCACTTAATGCACTATGATTTATTATCATGTGATTGTTCATCAAAACAATGTTGATTATATATTTCTTCATCAAGCTGACGCAGTGATAGCCTGCACTTGTACTGTTGTGTGTCCCTTTTTTGTTTGTTTTTCTCTTTCCGCAGGTCTAAAAGCAAACTCTTGTACATCATTGATTGTTTATTTTCGTGACCCCCCCCCTTTCTCTTTCACCTCTGTCTCCGTGTCTGGTTGGAATTATAAAGCATTCAAAAAACAATAAAGTTTTAAGTATCAGGCGTGACATTAAAAGCAGAAGCGCTGATGCTCCACCTGAAAGTAAATATGTAAGGCTTGTCACCAGCATTCAGACATCAATTCTGTTTGCTTCACAGCCAGACTGGGCATGGGGAAAACAACTATTAATAATATATATATATATATATATATATATATATATATATATATATATATATATATATATATATATATATATATATATATATATATATATATATATATATATATATATATATATATATATATATATATATATATATATATATATATATTCCATTCCATTCCATTCCATTTATTTGATAAAGCACATTTAAAAACAGCATGTGAGCTGACCAAAGTGCTGTACAGGGGTAAAAACATATAGGGTTAAAAGAATAATATAAAAGAATAAAACAACTAGAGCAGAACAAAAAGAACCATGAGAAGTCAATAAAATCAGTCAAAGAACAGTGTAAATAAACCATCGATAAAATAGCTAGGTAGTAAAAGCAAGAGAATAAAAATAAGTCTTTAAGTGGGACTTAAAAACCCCAATGGAGGAGGAGATTCTGATATTCAGTGGGAGATCATTCCAAAGTTTTGGAGCGCAGACAGAAAAAGCTCGTTCACCACGGGTTTTGCAGCGTTGACGGGGAATCTGTAGGAGGTGTAGGTCACCTGAACGGAGAGTCCTGCCTGGCACATAAGGAGTGAGTAACTCGGATATGTAGGGTGGTGCTAAGCCATTCAGCGCCTTAAAAACAAACAATAAAATTTTAAAACGTATGCGGTAGTGCACAGGAAGCCAGTGAAGTCTTGCTAAAATTGGAGTGATGTGCTGACGACGGCCAGTATTGGTCAGAAATCTTGCCGTCGTATTTTGTATCAGCTGAAGGCGAGATAATGCGGCTTTTGAAATACCAAACAGAATTGCGTTGGAGTAGTCCAACCTTGAGGTGATGAAAGCGTGAATGGTTGTCTCGAGGTGGCGCCGAATCAGAATGGGTTTTAGTTTGGAAAGACGTCTTAGCTGATAAAAACATGATTTAACCATGTGATTAACGTGAGAGTCCATTTTTAGAGCCACATCCATTTTAATTCCAAGATTAACAATTGTCTGACTAATTTTAAAAGGAAGAGCAGAAAAATCAGGAGCGGAGGAAGACGAGCCATTAGGAGTAAAAACAATAAACTCGGTCTTAAAATCATTCAGCAGCAAAAGATTTGCTGACAGCCAGTCTTTAACCTCACTCAGGCAATCAAGGAGCGGCTGGATGGAGGTAAAAGCCTTCAATGGAACATAAATCTGGCAGTCGTCCGCATAAAGATGAAAGTTAATGTTAAACTTCCTGAAGATTAGTCCCAGTGGAATAAAATAAATGCTAAATAAAAGGGGGCCGAGGATAGACCCCTGTGGAACGCCCCAAGGAAGAGCAGCAGCGGGAGAAGAACAGTCGTCCATTCTATATATATATATATGTTATTAAAGGGGATATTTTATAACTTAAAAAGTTATAATAGGTCTATAGTGTGTACAAAACATGTTTATGAAGTTGTTTGTACAAAGTCCCCCTCACAGAAAGAAACTTCAGCAGCTTTATTCTTGACATTTTCAGTATCTTCCAGAATGAGCCATTTCAGGTCTCTGTCATGGTTAATAGGGAGCATAAATCACTTCTGCATCATGGGTCCCCGGAAGAACGAAAAAAATGAATGCAAGTCAACGGGGCTAAAGACGCAATTTTCTAATCCGCTTTGCCTTATGCCCTGGATCGAACATATGTTGTACTGCAATTTAAATGAAAAGTAATGATGGGTGATTCGACCACGCCAATCACGTACTTTGAGATATATCAGCTTGTAAAGGTTCATAATTTTTAGCATGACTACAAACTAGAAATTGGCACGTCGCATATGTGACGTCACCACATAATCTCCTCTCCCCTAACGTAGCTGCTACTTATCAAATGACCAGATTAATTGTGGTTCTTTCCTCCTGTGGGAAGTTTGCTGAACTTACCGCCCTTTTCTCTCAGTTTCCTCTGTGTCTGGTTTGATGACGTCACTTTCCTGAAGCGCATTTGTAGTCCTGGACTTATTTTCACACAAAACCTAAAACAGCGTTTACCCCTGTTCGAAAATAAACGCATTTTTGGTATCCAAATATGTCTTTAAAATTCACGGACATCATATGTGATATCCATGGCACAAAACAAGCGGAATTAGAAAATAGCGATTTTAGCCCCATTGACTTGCATTAATTTTTTTGTTGTTCCGGGGACCCATGGTGCGGAAATGACTTAAGCCTGAGCCACGCTTCTGCGTCAGTGCGGAGACATGCAACGCCATTATCCGTCCTTGTGGGCCTGCTGGAGAGCCCCGCAAGGACGGACGGAGTCAAGCTCTCTTTTCTAAACATCCGTCCATCGAGACGGAGAACGCAAGCTTGTGATTGGTCAGAACGCTGCTGTCGTCTACACCGCCGCCATTGCACCCTCAAAAACATAAAGAGAGCCGAGGATAACTAGCGGCAGACACGGAGAAGCTTGAAGAATACCTCGCGAAAAAAACTCTAAAATTATGAATGTTTAATTCCCCCGTGACTGGAGGAGTGAAAAGATGCGCAACAAGCATTTTATTTGTGGCCGGAAATGACAGGAAACGTGGGTTTAGAGGTGGCGAGCACATGAAAAGGTGGAGGAGGATGAGAGACAAATCTGTCCGTGTTAAAAAGTCTCCTAAATACAAAAATCACAATATAAACACACTGTCTTGGACCGGATGCATGACAGGATACCACAGAACAGCACTACGCCCTCTGGTGTCCTGGCGGGGAATTGCTTTGCAACACTCCCCAGGAGACGGAGAAGTATGAGGGCAAAACGTCTCCGTCCGTGCGTGCGTGTCTCTTCCTGTTGGAGCTGATGGAGAAGCATGACTCAGGCTTAAAGCTTGGTTTATGCTTGACGCATTCACTTTCCGCGCGGTGATGCGGCTCGCGGATGGAACGCGCTTCACAACTCGCAGCGTTTATGCTTTGTGCGGCTCGTCTCTGCGGTGAGTCAATATTCTCCGAAACTGAACGGGGCAGCATGGAGCTCTACAGCATGCATCCAACACTACACCATAGTAGAAGTAGAAATTACTGTTTACAACATGGCATTTCAGCATTTTTAACAGCGTCCTCGTCTTTTCCGACAGTGCGAGCTTTGTCTCCAAGAATTATTAACAACATGTTGATCACGGTGATCTCTGAGAGCTGAAGCATACAAATGTTTGTATTTACGAACCTCTGCCATACTATTTCTTGCCGGTCCGCCATGTTTTTCCGCGTCCGACCGTCCGCGTGGTTAGAAATTTTCTGAGGTGCGCGTTGCGGAAATCTTGGGCTGTGCGGAGACGCGGTGGAGGGGCGTGGTTGTTAAAATGACGCAAAATGATGCAACTTTTCCGCGCGGAGCCGTGCGGACCTCGCGGACGCGTCAAGCATAAACCAACCTTTAGGCTCCCTATGCAATCTGTTACTGGCCATGCCCACCAACCGTGATTGGCTCCTGTGAGGAGGGGCTAAGAGTAGAGCCGCTGCCCCTCCAGTGCCCAAAGGTTGATCTATGCTAGTTTTTGTTATTGTGACATCACAATATGGGATTTTTAAAATGGCTTGTTTAAGCATGGGCCGTTGCTCGTTATCGCATGAACTGACAAAATTATGCGTGATCTTGCAATTCTCCTGTTATGTCGGAGAATTAGCAGTGTGAAACGTTTCCACAGCCACTGTGCGTCTGAAATGCTCCTGGTAGGAAGCGACACATCGCTAAAGTTACTAGGAAAACGGGTCTGTTACATTAGGCTTCCAATAGGGGCTCATAATTAAAGGAAGAATACTAAATTATTTGACTCTAAATATATGAATTTGTTGATTAAAGTAAATTTAAAGACTTTGCCGATTAAACGCAGGTCCAAAGCCAACTTTAAAAAGGGTCCATAAAAGTTTTTAATCTGTCACAAAACTTAAAAACTGGGGTTTGAGAGCAGGATCTAAGTGGTAACTTTGACTTGATGATACAAAAAGTTATTTTCTAAGCTTCAAGGCTTTGTGTTTATAAACATCTAACACATCTGGGTACATCTAAAAAATGACAACGGAGGAACGTGGGTTAAAAGGCTTTTTGACTAATGTAAGCTCTGTTTTATGTTTCAGACCTTCGTACCTTTACGGTTGAGTAATCAGAGCGGTCAGTGACACGCATTGCTACTAGTGCTTAAAATCACAAAGGAATTTAAGCAAAGAAAGTTCAAAAACATATTTTATTTAAATATATGGAAGAATTTTGAATGATCTAAAAAGATGTTCAGATGCATTAACTTTTTTGTTTGAAGGATGGATTTTGCAAGACGGGTGTTGGGAAATACTTCAGTGCATACAGAACAGTTTACTTGTGGCATCACAGTGTTTGATCATCACAGACTTTAACGTCTCAACTGTGGGACGGTTATTTCTTTAACATGGTAGTTTATGTCAGACATGGTTTGTTTTATCGGAATAATTAGTTTTTACTTCATCAATAAGATTTAAAGAATGAAGAGATTCTTTTAGTGAGCTGCAAGATGCACATCGACAGTCCTGTGTCGGGAAAAGAAGGGCAGACCGAGGCTCGGGACATTAAATACATCTCACTTATGTGACATTTAGTCTGCTGGCTCTACTGTTTCAGCCCTGAAAGTCAAAGGGCAAATAATGGCCCAAGAGTTAAAAATAGGACGTTGAGACTGGAAAGGCTGAAGGCAAGTAAAGTTTAGAAATGAACGCAATGCAAAGGAATGCATTTGATAGCCAACCTGTAATCCTAACATGCCCAAATTAGGATTATATTTACCAATTGATACATACTAGAGCTAATCTATTTACAAGTAATAATCTAATATATAATAATAATAATGCATTGAACTTATATAGCGCTTTTCTAGACACCCAAAGACGCTTTTTCACACACTCTCACATTCACACACTGCTAGTGATGGTAAGCTACTTGTAGCTACAGCCGCCCTGGGGAGGTCTGACAGAGGCGAGGCTGCCATTTGGTGCCGTCGGCCCCTCTGACCACCACTAACACAGGCAAGTTGGGTGAAGTGTCTTTCCCAAGGACATATATATATATATATTAGATTATTACTTGTAAAATAGATTAGCTCTACTTGTGCAGAACAGCGCAGCCAAGTTCCTGACTGGGACCAGGAAACGGGACCACATCAGTCCGGTTCTGGCCTCCCTGCACTGGCTTCCGGTTCGCTATCGTTCACACTTCAGACTCCTAGTCTTTGTTTTTAATTTCTTCCAGGGTGGTGCTCCCCCCTATCTAGCCACGCTCCTGAACAGACATTCCCCATCATGCGCTCTGTGCTCCTCTGACCAAGGCTGCTCTTTGTCCCTCGTTCTAGGTGTTGTACTCGCGGGGACCGGGCTTTCTCAGTACTAGCACCGTCACTATGGAACCAGTTGCCACCCTCAGTTAGGCTGTCCCCATCTCTGCCAGTCTTCAAGAGTCGCCTAAAAACCCACCTCCTCCGCTTGGCGTTTCCTGAACATGTTTGAATTTGGCCCTCTTTTATGTTGATTTTATCTCACAGTTTTCATTGGTTCACTTTTTCCCTTGTTTTACACATTTGTCTTCTAGAATGTTCCACCTTTTTTGTAATTTGTAATCTGTAATTTGAATTGCTTTTATTTTCTGATTTATTCACTTTCTTTAACTTTGTACTGTACCATGTTCAGCGCCTTGGGCTTCCTGACAGGGTTGCGGAAGGCGCTTTATAAATAAAGCTTTGATTGATTTGATACTATGTATCAGTTGGTATATATATATATATATATATATATATATATATATATATATATGAGAAATGACCATGGCCACTTCAGAGGTTGAAAACTGCAATTTTTGGCATTTAATATTTGTATTTATTTATTTTATTTCACCAAGAAGAAAATTCCATTGAGATTAAAAATCTCTTTCCCAAGGGAGACCTGGTCAAGGCAGCAGCAAGCTTCACACAACGTTAGAACAATTTCACAAATAAGAAACAAGTTTAAACAACACAAACATAGTAAAACAGTTCAAGCTCAACTGAAAATGGTAAGCAATCTTAATTAAACTGTTACACATGGAGTTGGCCTCAAGGTGTCTGGCCTTGATTTGGTATGAAGCCACATATGAAAACCAGCCTTTGGATGTCTTGCACGTCCATTGTGATCATCTGAACGGTTTGCTGCATCCAGGTAAAACTTACATGTTTATAAACTCCTCAATGGGAAACTTGTAATTGTCTCTTTTATTACCTTATGTGGTTGCAGCAGGTCATTCAGTTACTGTAAGTAAGAGGTTTTCAGGTTTCACAGGTTAAGCATTACTATTCTATTGAAAGTTTACATGATGGGCTATTTTCGAAAAGCTAATTAAGCACAACAAGAGAATGTTTTAATTTTCCCATTCATAAGATACCAGTGGACTTAAAAACCCTGTAATCCCCATTCACTGTTGAAGAAAGCTTCAAGGCACTCTAGTCCACCATTATCTTGCAAAACTCACTAATATGAACGCTTCTGAGGAACTTTGTGTTTTCTTTATGTACCAGGTAGAACGGTCTCCATGCAGTTATAGGTCCAGTCCTGGTTCTCATCGATGGGTAACACGTGTTGGCACACCTACAAGACAAACAGGCATGTTTGTTTCAGCATTTGAAAAGCACAGAAATGAATTGTCTTTATTAACCTGCTGCAAATGGCCTGTATTTGATACAGCATCGTCTAGGCTTCGACAACCCCCCAAGACGCTTTACAGCACAGACATCCACACATTCACGCGCACTGACAGAAAGGATGTTTTTCCCTTGCATGAATAACTGTTAGAGTTCTTAAGCAGGAGTTTGTAACTCTTTGTAATCCACATGTTGTTATTATAAAAGCATTAAACACTGCTAAGGTGGCACATCAGACAGATCTACAAAGTGAAAACAGAACCAGTTTCACCATCAAAGCAATCTTTTAGTGGACATTGTTGTGTACCATTTTAGTCCTGGCAGGTATTTCCACAGCAAACACAGACATGCCCCTGCTGCTGCAGCAGTTCCTGTTCTGCTCATTGTTCACATGAACGGTCACTCTCTGATTGGTCTGCAACATAAATGAATACAAATTATAAAACACACTTATTTTTACCCTGTTGAAAGCATGGCTTTAAAGGTCTCAGTCACTCGTTTTTTTAACATCCCGCCCACCAAACCAATAGAACACCACGATCAGATGGACCACCAAACCGATAGAGCGCTGCAATTGGCATGCCACTACACAGGGTAACTGCAGGTTTAAGGGAGCCAAATTTAAGACTTTTTAAGACCTTTTTTAAGGCCACTTTGACCAAATTTAAGCTAATTTTTTTAATTAAAATTAAGCTATAATTCCCAGCTATTGCCTGGAACCGATGCTAACCACGTCGCGAACGTAGGATTAGCCATCCATTTACCATTAAACTTGCACTTCCCATGACACAAGCTCCCACTAGCTTAACCAGCTAATGTGCTCATCTAAAAATAGCCCCCTTTCACAACCAACTGAACGTGTACGGTTCTGCTTTTGCCAATATCATATACAAAAATGCTGAACACTAACTAGAAATTCACAAAAATTTCATAGAAATAAAATAATCTAGTTTATTGGGTCTTTGGTAATTTAAGACCTTTGGAAACTGTATTTAAGGATTATTTGTCATTTTTAAGGATTTTCAAGGCCTTAAATTTGGAAAAGTATATTTAAGACTTTTTAAGACTTTTCAAGGACCCGCGGATACCCTGCACTACAGTGATCCCTCGCTACTTCGCGGTTCGTTTATCGCGGATTCACGACTTCGCGGATTTTTTTTGGAGCCTTATTCAAGGGAAATTCGCCGATTCGCTGCATTTTTCTATGCGAAATATCAAGAAATTCCTGTTTTTTTTTTCATAAATTTCATCATAAAATGCACTTTTTGTAATAAAACTATAAAAAAACCAAGTAAAAAATGTTTTTCTTGAGTTTTACCCCCAAAAAGAGAATGTGATCATACGATAATTCAATATAGTACTGTAAGTCAGACTGGTCGGCTGGATTCGGGAGTTGAGCTTGTAGGGAGCGTGGTTTCACAGACGCGGAAGTGAGAGCGTCGGTGAAACGCCGGCTCACGATTAATCTAGGAAACCCCCGAGCGTTCGAGCGTCAACGAAGTGACACAGAAATGCCGGACTTTCCAGAAGTAAGTAAGATAACTTACTATGAGCTGATAGTTCGTGGGATGGATCTGTAGGTTGGAAACTCTGATCATGAATCTGAAGAAACGATGACCGAGTGGTGAGCTGGAAAGGCGACTTCTGTTTATAGCCGCGGTTTGTGACGTAGGTGCGACGTGGAGGGAATCCCCGCGAGGGGCATGCTGGGAGTTGTGGTCCATAGTGGAGGCCGGCTAGCTGGAAGAGGCTGGTCTGGGAACTTGGGTTCTGACACTGTACTGTAAATATGGTGTCCCTACTTCGCGGATTTTCACCTATCGCGGCCAGGTCTGGAACGCATCTACCGCGATAAACGAGGGATCACTGTAGACTGATCGGGGCTGCGAAGGTTCCGAGGGAGCGTGGCTAGACCGACATGCAGAGCAAAATCATTTTGCTTCCGTTACTCTTCACCTACTATTCTCTAGTATAAATGAATACTTAGTGAGTCTTTTTCTGTGTGGAAAAAAGCTTCAGTGCTCCTGTTCCAGGGGTCAGAAGTTTGTCGGGGTTCTGAAACGACAGGATTTTAAGTCTTAAGCCTAAATTATATGTATCCGTCTGCGTCGGGATGGACGCACGCAACGCCATTATCCGTCCTTGCGAGCCTATTGGAGAGCCCTCGCAAGGACGGACGGAGTCGAGTTCTCTTTTCTAAACATCCGTCCATTGAGACGGAGAACGCAAGCTTGTGATTGGTCAGGACGCTGCTGTCGTCTACACCGCCGCCATTGCACCCTCAAAAACATAAAGAGAGCCGAGGATAACTAGCGGCAGACACGGAGAAGCTTGAAGAATACCTCGTGAAAAAAACTCTAAAAATATGAACGTTTAATTCCCCGTGACTGGAGGAGTGAAAAGATGCGCAGAAAGCGTTTTATTTGTGGACGGAAATGACAGGAAACGTGGGTTTAGAGGTGGCGAGCGCATGAAGAGGTGAAGGAGGATGAGAGACAAATTTGTCCGTGTTAAAAAGTCTCTTAAATACAAAAATCACAATATAAACACACTGTCTTGGACCGGATACATGACAGTATACCACAGAACAGCACTACGCCCTCTGTTGTCCTGGCGGGGAATTGCTTTGCAACACTCTCCAGGAGACGGAGAAGTACTCCGTCCGTGCGTGCCTCTCCCTGTTGGAGCTGACGGAGAAGCCTGAATTAGGCTTTACTCATTAATTAATAACCGTGATATGCAAAATAACTTACATTTGATTGGCTAACAGCAACGCAACTCTTCCACTGCTCTCATTCACACCTTTTTTTGTGGAGTTGCTAATACTAATGGTTAGCTTCACCCAAGACACGCTCTGCTCTCTCCTGGCCACTAAATCAACACAGCCCAAAAATGGGCTGGGCAATGAATGCTAAATTTCCCAGTGATGTAGAAGAGACCAACGTTTTCTGACTCAGTCTTTTCCCCGCCTAATTCCCTTTCTGTGGCTAATGCAGGCAATAAGGGCTGAAGAAAACACGTGGTCGGCATGCCTCTGCAACTCAGTGACTGATCGTATTTCCGAACAATCTTTTCTCAGTAAACAAGACCTTTAACAAATAAAGAAATAAGATCACAATACCGAGGTAAAATGTTTTAGTCATTAATCCAGTCTAACTGCAGCACATTAATGAGAATAAACTAAATACGGTCACAGAATGTAATAGTTAAACCTAATGAGCCTCATTAAAAACTGACTGCATTTTTCACTCAGCAGCTGACGTTATTCCTAATTTAATGATAATCACTGAACAAATGCTGTGCTCCACCTTGTTGGCTACAAGGGAGGAGATCCTGTGCTCCCCTCTGTAGGTGTAGATGAAGACGTTCTCATTCCCCCTCAATGCTTTAGCCCCTGTTCTCGATGTGATGGACCTCAGGATGGCTTGGTTCAGTAGTTTAGGACCTGAGTCCACACCGAGTGGCTGCACGGTTGGCTGTGAGGCTTCACAGTAAACGTCTACCTGGAATGGACACGCCTGGAACAAAAGTTTAATTAATTATTAAATGTTCGCATCAAACTAAAAGTCTGTGCACTTCTATGTGTTTGGTGTAAAATCAGATATAGAAACCAACCTCTACCAGCTCCAGCATGCAATTGTAGCCCATTGATTCCAGCGTGATCCACAGGTCTGCAGGGTCTCCATCTTTCTCGGTGGCCTCCATCAGATTAAGCTCCATAAAGCCCTGCCGTGTCAACTGGTTCTTTCTCATATCAAAATTTTCTACAACGCACACATGAAAAAAACACAACAAAGATGAGAAAATCCCCATGAGATCCAACTTCCTAATGTAATGATTACCTTTGCACACGGCCCAGGCTTCTTGATCACACTTCTCTCCACTCGTTCTCAGCTCAAAGAGATTATATTCCTCCAGGCTGAGCAAACCGTTCCCATCCAGGTCGATTGTTTCAAATATGTCAGAGAGCACCTCCCTGTGGCAGGAAAAGACCATTACGGGCAAACTTTCCACAGCTTTTATGAAATATTCATGAATTCTGGCGGACTTTTTTTGGTAAATCACCATTTGCATTGCCTTGTTTTGATTTGATCACGGATTAAAACTGCTTTACCTCAGCTCCTTGGTGAGGTCCAGGTCTCCGCTGTCTGTCTTATAGACAAGTTCAACAGATTTATTGGGAACATGTTTTTTACTTTGTTTCTTTAATCTGCAGCCACTGGTGAAGGGAAGCAGCAGGTATGTTCCAGCACTTAGTTCTCCCTTCCAAACATATTTCTGCAGGAACGAAAGAAACGTCGAAGCTAATTCATGTAGGGATTTCAGATCTTTTCTATTAAGAGCTTTCTGGCAGACTGGCCTTTGTGCCTTTCTATCAGCGATCCAATCTTGTAAAATAAACAGATACATAGAATATAGATTACAAAGGTCATTTTTCACATGCAACATACTTCTTTGTCCTTTGATTCTGTGAAACCCACTAAAGTCGAGTCCTCTTTGTTCTGACCCCCCGACACAACAAACAGAGCAGTGTCCACTGACATCCATGACGAAGACTTGTCTGGAGGAAAAAAAACAACAAGATAAAAATACCTTTCACATTTTAAAATCCCTGTAAAATCTTATTTTAAAAACATATTCTTCTAAAAACCAAAACAATGATTCCACAACACATCGCGTGCAGAAGACTTGAGCCATCTTCCACTGACGTTTAGCAACTTTTCAAGCTAAATTTCATGATTTGGTGCTATATAAATGAGCTGAATTGAATTTAATTACATTTCTCATGGCTTTCAAAAATAATTTTCCTTTAAATATTGTCTTTTTTTCCTTGTTTTTAAAAGTCTGTAAAACGACGATAGTGATATGATCTTTAAAAGAAGAAGAGAGTAAAATAAAGACCTAAAACTGGACCTGACAAATGCATTTATTTACTACATTCTTATGTTTTAACTATTACCTTTACAAAAAAACTCTAACTGGTGATATAAAAATGTTTGGCATTTTGAAGATGCAGACCAACTAGTTCTAGCTGCTAATGAAGAACCCACAAATATAAATGAATTTGCCTTCTAAACTATGTTTTCTGGTATGTTTAGATTTAATTGTAAATGATCTATTGAGGGATTTTCTTACATAGGAAATGTTCAGAGAATCAGGATAAAGAACTAGACTGCAAATGAGTGACAAAGTAGCCAAACTCACAGCAAAAAGGTTTTTAAAAAATCTGTACGTGTAGAGAACTAGTGGCTAGGACTGTTAAAAGTTGCTTTTGGAAACCAAAATCCTAAAATATAGAATATATACATACTTTTATAAAAATAATCAAAAATGCTGAATGAATGTTTATAGGTTTATGCACGGACGTAATCTTCACTTAAGAAGGGGGGGGGGGGCACATGGGGTGGGGGAGGGTATCTTTACAGTATGCTCTAATGGGAAACAGGCTTCAACACAAACGGTTGTTTTCTGCTTGGTCCTAGAGCTCAACCAGTGTCAATTTAATAAAGCGTAATATTGTTTTTCGATGGTAAAAAGTGCAGGGGTCAAAACTTGACTTTGGAAAAAGTGTGTGTGTGTGGTGGTGGTGGTGGTGGTGGGGGGCATGTCCCCCCTGTCCCCCCCAAAATTACGTCAGTGGGTTTATGCACAAACAAAATTTCAAAACTACTTATTTTGTAGTCCACAAAGGCTTTTCTTCTTTAACGCTGTCTACAAATACATACTACAAAACTAAGTAAACATGCACAATCTTCATAAACTGTCCTTCCATAAACTGAAGTATGCCACATGAAGTAAAGTGAAATGACAAAGAAATGCAGCTAATTATTGTGATTAATTAAAATTATAATACTCCTACTTTGTTTTTTGTGCTGCGCTGGCACAAAAATGATAAATTATGCAGCTAAAGCTACGCATGCCTATACAACAGTAATAAAAAAATCATATTCACTCTTTACAGTTTGTGCAAATGTAATTAAAAATAAAAAGCAACAAGAACCAACCGGGTCTGTGGGCGAGGCTCAGTGGCTGGATGGTTATGTATGTGCTGGTTGTCTGGGGGATGTGAAGCTGGTACTGTGGGGAGCTAATACTCCCATCATCTTCTACAAAGAAGCATCCTTTCATAAAGCTGTGATGCCACTCCTGGAATGACAGAGAATTTAACGCACATCTTTAAAAAGCCTTTACATTCATACAAACATATATGAAGAAATATTTGTAAGACTTGGGCTAAGACGGGTTGTCGTGTGTGGGTATGTTTTTCTATGTGTGGTCCTAGTTTTGATTTTGACAAAGGAACAACTGATATGTTGGTCAGCTGAAATATAAGGCCAATATTTTTTAATCAATCAGCTGATTTAAAAGCTAGGCACATCTACAGGTAGCCCAGTGCTACTGCCAAATGTGAAGGACCCTGAGCCGATGGCCAAAAACATTCCCAGGGACGTTGCACTAGAAAAAACACCCTGGTATGAAGAGAGGTACAATGTAAAGTCCCAGTAACTCAATTTTCCATTCAGTTCAATTCAGTAAATTTACATGGTGCCAAATCACAACAAGAGTCGTCTCAAGCCACTTCACAAATACAATACAGGTCAGGGGCCTCATTTATCAAGCTTGCTTACGCACAAAACGGGGTCAGAAATCTGCGTAAGCAACTTTCCACGCATACTTTGGGATTTATGAAAGAAAACTTAGCGGAAAAATGTGTGCAACATTAAGTTGACTAAGGACCTGGCTTACGCACATTTTGGACATGGAGAGCACCTGCAGTGCTGCTGCTGAGAAGGATAAAATTATGAAATCCTGCAGCATTATCACTTGTACTGCTTCGTTTTCACACAGAGCAAGACCCCCCACACGCACACACATGCGCGCGCGCACACACACACACACAGCCTGAAGTGCAGAATACGGAATGCAGAATATCAGCAGGGGGACAGACTGAGACAGAATGTCATGTGTCTCTGACAGTGTGTGTCCTGTCACTGTGACCCGATCATGCACCCTGGCTACTTGTACAGGGGAGATCTCCGTTTGGCTGACTGGTTAGCGCGCGTGACTTTCACCCAGGAGTCTGGTGATCGAATTCCGATTGGACCATTTTTTTACATCCGCCACAGACCTCTCTGAAAAACTCAGCATTGACGGCTTCAGCAACGCTGAGCCACTCCGTGGATTTTCTCTTATTTGTTTTGCAAAAGCACTTCCTTTCATTTCTCCACCTCACCCACAAGTACCTCAACTTCTTCTTGTGAAATTGCGCTTCCTTGATCTGCCTTGATCTAAGGTCGCCATCGTCATTCAGTACGTTTACATGCAGCCAATATCCAGGTTATGATCGGGTTAAGGTCGGTATTTGGGTTTCTGAGTTGATCAGAATAACCCGTTTACAAGCATAAATAGAAAGAGTTACCTCTAACTTGCATAACCCAATGTAAATGCGGACGTTGGGGTAGCGTCAGGACGTGTGGACTACGTCCTGCATCATTTCCGGTTCTTCTTGTTCCGGTATCCGTGAAAACAACAACATTTTTCCCAGTTCGGAAGAGATAGCGACCGCGTTTGTTTGCACTTTATTTTCCTCGTCACTCCGAAAGTGTGATGCTGTGCTGCGACTTGCCATTTTGCTCCCAACTTGTTGTTTACTTCCGGTGTTCTGGCGCATACAAGACGTCTCGCTACTCAAAAGACCAAGATTCCTTGCGAACAGAGCATGCGCAGAACACACGCTTTGATGGGGATATCCCGATGTGCGTTTACACGACCAAACATTCGGGTTAGAAAAGGGTTACCCCAGGTGTAGTAACCGGGTTTTTAAAAACCCGGTTATGAGCATATCCGGGTTACTGGCGGTGTTTACAAGGACCTGCGGAACCGAGTTATTGTGAATATTCGGGTTTTAAAAGGGTTACTGGCTGCATGTAAACGCACTGATAGGTGGAGCGCTGCAACAGCCAGCTTATGTATATGCATGAGATCCACAAGGCACTTTGCATTGACTATTTATGGCAGTAAGTGGGCGTGGTGAGGGCGGGATGTGACTAAAATGCAGCTGAGATACATTCTCGTTAGTCTCCGATTAATGAAGCGGAGATTGCGTGCAGCTGTGCGTACTTAATGTTTGATAGATCACAAACCTACTTGGCATAAGTACATTTTTTTTGCTGAGCTTAAGTACGGTTTTAGTAAGGATTCTACGCAATGTTTGATAAATGAGACCCCTGGTCAATAAGCAAATCAGAAAAAAAGTTTCCTATATAAGGAACCCAGCAAACTGCATCGTGTCACTGACTAGTGTCAGAGTCTATACAGCAATCTTCACACTAAGCAAGCATGTAGCGATACTGGAGAGGAAAACTCCCTTTTAACAGTAAGAAACCTCCAGAGGATCCTGTGTACCAGTCCATACAAGCCCACTTAAGGCACTGGTAAAGGGGTTCGATTGAAGACAACTGGACTTCTTTGGTTTCTTGAAAACGTTTTGCTTCTCATCCGAGGAGCTTTGTCAGTTTTGACTGGGAGGGTCATGCTTATAAACTGTAGCTGTCTATTGTTGCCTAACGAGCAGAAACTACCTTTGAATATCCCTCCTCCCTACCCCCTGATGAGCCATTAGCCTCTACTGTGTGGTAGTCGTATTGTTCAGATGCAGATGGGTGTGACCTAAACTGTAACGGTTTTGGAAGCAAAACGCCTTTAAGAAACCAAATAAGTCCAGTTGCCTTCATTCAAACCTCTTTAGATTATCATCACCTGGATGACTGAGAACCTTCACTAGCATAAACTATGAAGTGTTGCTTCACCAGTAGCTAAAGACTGCTTACATGAATGTCATTCTTGGGTCGGTGTAAATGTAATTGTGTCTGTGGTGTAAATAGTGAGAATGCATGTCCCGGGGAGATAGATTACAGCACCTATGGGAAAAGGCTATTTCACAGTCTGGTGGTACAAGTCTGTATGTTTCTGTACCGCTTCCCAGTGGGGAGCAGAACAATCAGTTTGTATCCCAGATGGGTGGGGTCCACAGCAATACACCTGGAGCTGGCCAGCATATGAGTCTAGGCCAGTCAAAGGACCACCCACCATCCCGTGTGCTGTTCTTACTACCCAGTTGCATTAAAACAGTCATACCAGCATAATGCTGTACTGGTTTAATGTCCGTTAGCTTGAAGTCAACTTTAAGGATTGTATGAAACTATCAGGTATTTGTTTGCTTGACATACCAGCTCCAATTTTATAGATTACATTGTTTGTCTTGTATGAGAGAATTTTGCTCTGTGTGTGGGATAGAGACCCACACACAGAGGATGTGTGTGTGACACAACAGTGTGTGTGAGACGGCCAGTTAATCTGTCCATCTCACACACACTGTTGTGATTGGAACATTTTGTTGTCGTGTAGTGGGTTGGAACATATTATTGATTTTGATTACACAGTGAACGAAAAAATACAGGAAATAATAGTTGTTAAATCTCCTTTTTTCATGAACTCTCTAAACGCAAGTAAAACATACCTAATTAAATAACATGTTCAGACAAAAGACACATTAAATCCGTCTAACGTTTCAGAAATCACCAAGTATATAGAACTGTCCTCGCTTGTGTGCAACATAAAAAAATAATTTAGATTTTTTTGTGATGTGATTATGGTCATTTGGTTTTGACCGTGGCTGAATGGCTAGAGCATTTGTCCTATGACCGGCAGGCCACGTGCTGAAGCATCTTTGGGAAAGACCTTGAACCCTAAGTTGCCCCCGAGCGTATCACAACTCCTTACTAATGTAAGGATGGGTAAAATGCAGAGAAAATATTTCCTCTAAGGGGATCTAAATTTAAAAAAATGCAACAAAATTATCACATTTGAGTACAGTGAACTCATTGTCATGTTCAAGAAGCCAGTCTGAGATGGTGCGTGATCCTGCTGGAAGTAGCCATCAGAAGATGGGTACACTGTGGTCATAAGGGATGGACATGGTCAGCAAGGCTGTGGCATTGCAACGATGATCAATTAGTACTAAAGGGACCAAAGTGTGCCAAGAAAAAGTCCCCCACACCATTACACCCCCACCACCAGCCTGAAACGTTGATACAAGGCAGGATGGATCCATGCTTTCATGTTGGTACGCCAAATTCTGACCCTATCATCCGAATGTTGCAACAGAAACTGAGACTCATCAGACCAGGGAACATTTTTCCAATCTTCTATTATCCAGTTTTGGTGAGCCGGTGTGTTTCCTGTTCTTAGCTGACAGGAGTGGCACCCAATGTGATCGACGTGTTGTGCGTTCAGAGATGCTCTCTGCATAACTTGGTTGAAATGAGTGGTCATTTGAGTTACTGTTGACTTTCTATCAGCTTGAACCAGTCTCGCCATTCTTCTCTGACCTCTGGCATCAACAAGGCATTTTTGCCTACAGAACTGCCGCTCACTGAATGTTTTCCCTTTTTTTGACCATTCATCTGTAAACCCTAGAGATGGTTGTGTGTGGCAATCCCAGAAGATCAACAGTTTCTGAAATACTCAGACCAGCTCGTCTGGCACCAACAACCATGCCAAATTCAAAGTCACTAAAATCGCCTTTCTTCCCCGTTCTGAAGCTCGGTTTGAACTACAGCGGATCGTCTTGATGTCAACATGGCTAGATGGATTGAGTTGCCACCATGCGATTGGCTGATTAGTAATTTGCATTAACGAGCACTCGGACAGACGTACCCAATTAAGTGGCAAGTGAGTGTAGATACAAGCCGTGACAAAAAATCAGCAGTGCAGATCGACCATTGGCTGACTGTGATCTCCACATATCAGCATCATCAGTAGACAAACCAATCTCATTGGATCACTGATTCAGACCCAAACACAACTCAGTTTTGCCTCTGACAACAAAATGCATTTACCCATTTAACAGAAACCAAATCGAATAATTTGCAAATCCGTTTATAAAGCAGGATTGATCTTTTGATAGGAGATGTGGGTTTTTGATGTGGCATGAAGTGAATAAAGCAGGCGCTCATAACGGTGAAGCAGCTTGGTTGATGAACAGCAGTAATTACCACTTCAGTCTTCTGGAGGAATAATCATTCCAACGCTTTGAACTCAGCAGCATGAAAACACACGCTGTGCTCATGCTGATCCAGCAGGGGGCAGACGTGTCACACTGTGTCTCCTGCAGGCTCCCGGAAACCTCTCCATGGACATGGCAAATTGGACTCCATTTACCTTTGATAAATATGGCTTTTTCAATCTTGAGTGAGCGGTCATTCAAAACTGTCGAGGGGCTATTTTGGCAATATTTATGAATCCTAATATTTCTCTCATTTCGCGATCCTACTGTTGCTTTGTCTGGCTGCACAACTGAAATTAGGTCATAATTTGAAATTGAACAGGAACATCAACACTAGGATGTTTTCATTCCCCTCATTAGAGACACATTAAATGAAAACACAGTTGGTGTGGACACACAATAAAAGGACATTGAGGGCCAAGCAAGGCTGGAATAGGCTATACATCCTTTTAGTTGACAAATAAATCACTGAGCTAAACAAAGAAAAGTACCATAAAGACGGAGCATGCCACTCCTTTAGAGAAAAGCCATTTTCTCACAGTATTTATCTTGGGCTGTGAGAGGCATAAAAGATCAAACCATAACACTTCTGTGGTTTGTCCAGACAATACTAAACGAGAGAAAATGCCACGGGCACCCATCAGCTGCTTAAGGACATCAGAATTAATGCCCCCATTGAGAGAGGGTCAGCCTGCAGACTAATACAGGCTCTGTCACCTGCTCCAGCCACAGGTCTGATTTACTGTCTCACACAGCGACTCTCAGGACACACACACACACACACACACACACACACACACACACACACACACACACACACACACACACACACACACACACACACACAAAGGTTTTTTTTATAATGCTTTCATCTATGCACGAGAAAAAGCTGTGAATAATCCTTCCTATGTAAATTTCTGTTCCTAAAGATAAACGTGCCCTGAACATATAAACTACCGATCCGAAGAATCTCCACCTCTCTCCTCCACCACACACATCCCAGGTATTAGCCTGTGGCAACAGGAGCCAATGTAACAAGCAGAAGTTCCCTCGGAGGTAATCTCTGGACACACATTCTTTTACCCTTTTTATGATGTCTGGCCGTTTCCAATCTCAACACGGCTAATGGACCTGCGAGATGGTGAAAGGGGTAGTTTTGCTTATTTATTTATTTACTTCTTGTTCTTTTTTTGTTACTGCAAAGCAAACCAGCTGAGGTTAAGCCAAAAAGAGTGAAAACAAAGAGTGTGAGATCAATACGAAGCGTATCTCTTCACCCCTCGGCTATGACCACCCACATAAACCAGCGCGCGGCAATGACACTGAGCGACTAGTGGGGCTGTGGGGGGTGGGGTGCCATTCTGATAATGGAGACCCTCACAGAACTAAAAGCCTCCATCGTGGGACAAACTGTAAATCTTCAGGGTTTATATAATAAAAGATGAAATCTTGTCTGCTTATTTTCCTGTGATGTTATCTTAACTTTGGTTCTGCTGAGGGTTGCACGGTGGTGTAGTTAATAGCGCCTCACAGAAGAAAGGTCACAGGTTTGAATCCCGACTGTAGCCTTTCTGCATGGAGTTAGCATGTTCTCCCCATGCATGCATGGGTCTTCTCTGAGTACTCAGGCTTCATACGGCAGTACAAAAACATGCATGCTGGGTTGAATGGAGACTAAATTTTACCTCGGTGTGACCGAGTCTGTCCCTCTGATGGACTGGTGACCTGTCCAGATTGTCCCCTACCACTTTGTGGAGTTATAGACCAACTCCCTTTGACACAAATGAGGATGAAGCCGTTCAGATAATGATCGGATGGTTCTGTTGATAACTTTTACACATCCGTCTCATCCATGATTCCAGCCCAGTTTGGGAAACCATTCCAGCATTGATACTAACACACTCAGGAACATCCCTTTATGAGTTTGAACCTGAACCCCTGACTGCTTGTGATACTCACAAACCAAAGGTGGCTCAAACTATCAAAGGTGATTTTGTGACATCACAGAACCAGCTGTGTGGAACGCTTTTGCTCCTGTTTCACATCTGAAATGTTCCTGGTTGGAAGGGAGCTTGCGGGAAAAATGCCCCTAAATAACCATTCTATGGAGAATCAACCAGATTTTTCAGTGGAATTATTTTAGCGGCGCAAAGGACCATCCTTTTTGAATCAAACAATTATTATTTGCTCAATCCAACACCAACACATCAGACCATCTGCCAGACCAGTCGTGCGTATTCTGAGGGTGCCTACGATTTTCAGATACATCAGAAGTCCACTCACTCGTTCTGCCGAGACGGCTTCGCTACAGACCGGATCTCCAAGAGCTTCCACTATCCTGGTGCATAGGCTATTCAGTGGCGTCAGTGTGGTTAGTATAAATTTATAATTTGTTAAATAACATCAAACAAACAGCCACATTTATTGTTTATAAACCCAGACATCACACCTTTCTGAGTCACTTGGTGAAGCTCTTAAAACATACAAGGTCATGTTTCATCAGAGTTCATTCATTGTCTCATTTAATATATAACCACTTACAAATCATTACAAACAAAAATGGCTTTTGATGGTTACCTGTAAACCTGGAGGTTCTGGAACTTTGCTGCTCACAGAGCTGCTGGGCGTCATTGTGAGTGTGTTTGACAGTGAGGAGCGTCTGCTGCGAGCAGAGGAAGGACGGGATCGACTATCTGTGACACACACACACACACACACACACAAATGTTTAAAATCACTCAAAATTTAAGTCAAAACACGTTACTGACAGATTAGGCCCAGTCCTGTGCTTTCGCTGAAATACGAAATGAGACAACCAATTTCAAACGCCAGCCTTCTCAGAAGTCTGTTGCTAAGGTTAAGCATGCCTACTTTGCGTTTTGGTTTCTGAGAAAGTGTGATTTCAAGTTCAAGCTGCCTTTCATTCATTTTAGAGGCATTTAAAATCACTAATTGCATAACAGCACCCTTTCAAATTCATTATCTCGCACAACTTTATTTCTTGAAAACTAATTGTAGCCAGAAAATATCAATTCACTAATGAGAGGTCGGATTGTTCCCAAGCCTGGAAAATCAAGTAATGTGACAGGATTATCAGTGAACCACTGAAGCGTAGAAATAAACAAGAGCCACTGTCACGGTGTTTTATCACGGTTAGTTACTACGTTGTTGTCAGTATGCGAGTAATCCTTGGTGCCAGGGGCGGATTTAGGACTGAAGAAGATCCGGGGCTTAACACACACGCGCGCGCACACACACGCGCGCGCACGCGCACACACACACATGCGCGCACACACGTGACACGCACTAGTCAACATCATATATATATATCTTGTACCACATAATGTTTAATCTGAAGCTACATATTCAGCATATTCAGGGCAGAGTATTGTTCCTGTTAGTGTTTAGTGTGAGATGATAGTAAATATTCCCTTTCTTTCTTCAACAACTTTACCTGATAGTAAGCTAACTTTAGGCAAACCAGCAGCACAACAAATATTTTCAAATAAGACTCACAAACCTGAGTCAACACCAGTCTCATCAGAGCTGGGGTTCTGTCGTTGTACTTTTGGTCTAAAAAAACGTCCTTATGTCCATCTTCACTCATGCGTTTCAGACAGACTGCAGAAGCCAGCTGCTGAAGGGCTTCTCTTCAGTCTCAGGTAAACTGTATACTGACTAAGTAGCCTAGTGGTAGAGTGTCTGCCCTGAGATCGGGAGATCAGGGGTTCGACTCCTGGTCGGGTCATACCAAAGATTTTGAGAAAAATGGGACCCAATGCCTCCCTGCTTGACACTCAGCATTGGATTGGGGTTGGATTGGGGGGTTAAACCACCAAATAGTTCCCGAGCGCGGCGTGTCTGCAACTCAGGGGATGGGTCAAAATCGGAGAATAAATTTCACCACACACCTGTGTGTGTGACGACTAAATGGGACTTTACAAACTACTGCCAGCTGCGCCCTCTCTGTGTGACTTTGGTACTGCATGTTACTTCCGCGATTTAGATCCGGGGCTTATCATGAAAGATCCGGGGCTTCAGCCCAAGTAGCCGGGCCTAACGCCGCCCCTGCTTGGTGCAAATGCTAAAATATCTCAAATAGGAAGCTTTAGTGTGAATTTCTACACATTTTTAAAGTTTTACTAAAGAACACTTATGCTGGAAACGAGGACAGTAGCCCAGTATCACAATACTTACTTTAATCATTTATTTGGAACAAATCAGCCAAAATATCAATGTTTTATACTGGGAAAATGTACGTTCTGGATTTTACTAACCACATAAAGTCAAAAGAGTTTTGAAGCAGCAAGAGTAACCAACTGAACAAATTCAGTCATGCAGCATCTCATGTCAAAGCCTTGTTAAAATGTAACAGGTCCAAATCAATTCGCGGGAGAGGCACAATAATGTGATAATCCCGTCTACTATCTGGGAGCTTGTTTGTTTTTGCAGCAGTGGTTGACTGTGCCTCCTTTTCTAATTCCTCATCACATCCCCAGTGAGAGGTGGTGGAATCCTCCAAATCAATAACAGGAACATGGACTGACCACTTAAATCAACTCCATCCATCTTCCATGTGGCTTATGTTCCTCAAGCTGGATCTCAGCCTCTCCAAGCCTTTGCTCAACAGTTGGGATCTACGTTTAAAGGTAGATTAGGAGATGTTTCTGCAGCAGCTCACGCAGTTGTTCATTTGCACGTTGTGGCACATATGGAAACTAACTCACTGATCGGCACCAATTGGCTTTTAGACCAAACTATAGCACTGAGTCAGCCTTGATTCATGTGCAGAATGACATTTTGGTGGCATCTGATTCTGAGTCCTATGTGTTGTTGCTGTTCAGCAGCTTTTGATACTGTGGACCATAAGGTACCGTTAGACTGCCTCCAGTCTTGGGTTGGTCTGTCACTGAACTGGTTTCGCTCTTATTTGGCTAACAGAGTGTTTAATGTGCAGCTGGGTGCCTGTGTATCACCCTGTCTTCCCCAGAAATGGGGTGGGGTGCCACAGGGTTCTGTTCTGGGGCCACGCCTGTTCACCATATCTCTGTTACCGTTGGGGAAGGTCTTTGAGCATTTTAACATCGTCTACCATATCTTTGCAGATGATTGATTGATCTATGTGGCGATTGATGGTACAATTCAATTCAGTTTATTTATATAGCACCAAATCACGACGAGTCGTCTCAAGACACTTCACAAATTAAATATTCCAATACAGTTCAGTTCATTAAACAGACATCTCTCAATGGTTAACTGGATGTCTTGCTACAGTGTAGGGCTGGCTTTCTGCTAATTTCTGCAACTAAACAAGACAAAGACAGAGGCGGTTCCATTTGAACAACAGGTAAAAACTTCCAGAATGTTCCTTGAACCTCCTCCCACTAGCTCTATTGAGCATCAATCCACATACTGCAGGATGGGCAGCTTCCAAAGACGAAGCTGATGCTTTCAGACAGCTGTACATCTAACTGACTTCCAAAGTCCCCTCCCACCACACACACACACAAACACACACACACACACACACACACACACACACATACACGCTTTGCCAAGGCAACAAACAGACCAACAGCTCTACCAGCCTGCTGCTGCAGGCAGCCTTCACAGGCAACAGCTCCATCACATAAACATTTCCCAACAAGAACAGAACCAGACTCTAAGAAAAATTTATGAAAGAACTCCTTAAATGAAAACTGCAAACAGAACAGAACAATCCTTCTATTGCACTAGGCAGCCTGGCTCTGCTCTCACTTTCTGTTTAACTGCTCCAAGCTGAGAACACAATTCATGCACATGTACAAAGAAAGGGGAGGGACGGTCAGAGGAGCAGTTTGATGGATGGGTTATTTTCCAGTTACTAAGAACAGGTCGTTCACAATGAGCGGATGAAGTTCTTTCAGAATTTTACGTTTCAGAGACGATTACAGTCATTCATTTTATGGCAAAACCTTTAATTTATTGGTTGCCATCGGTATGTGTAGCGCTTTAAACAGCAGACTGTTGCATCATCTTCAAAAAGTAGACTGCCTAAGACTGAAAAGATTCCAGATGATGGTAACGAAACCTGGAGCTTGACTCCGTTCAAGCTGATCTTAGGCAGGAAGCTGAAAGTCAACATGCCGACAGCTTCAATCGCTTAATGGCAGAAATGATCACCCAATTTAAAGCACTTTGATGGCTCCTCCCTCTAAACAAGCTGGTCTAATTGGGTTGCTGTTATGATGTATGGACTGACAAATGAGGCGATTTGTCACAATGGTGGTGAAAAATCGATCAATACTAGAGCTATTATTTATTCATCAAAACCAATCACTGAGGTGTGCGGGGAAAACAAGAGTTTAAGAGCGTGAATACACCTACTATAAAGGTTTTACATGGTTACACCCAGAGATTAACTGAAAATCCCCCAACTGCTAAAAGCCAGACTGGCCAGACTAATGTTTGTACCTCTCTTGAGCATCAAGCCACATTCTGCAGGATGAGCAGCTTCCAAAGATAAAGCTGATGCTTTCAGAGGGCTGTACGACTGACTGCCAAAGTTCTGTCTCTTCATCTTGGCGTCAGCTTCAAGCTTGTCCAAGGCAACCGTTTGACACCGCTCCACTGTGGATGCAAGCAACCTGCAGAACTGTCAGCAACAGAGAAACAGCGGTAAGAAGATGACACGCGAGAAACATTTCAAGGCAACAAAATATCCAGCAAACATCAAATGATGGTAAATGATAAAATGGCCTGTATTAGATATAGCGCCTTCATAAGAGTCCTGGAGCCCCCCAAGGCGCTTTATAACACAATTAGTCATTCATACACACATTCACACACTGGTGGGGATGAGCTACATTGTAGCCACAGCTGCCCTGGGGCGCACTGACAGAGGCGAGTCTGCCGAGCACTGACGCCACCCGTCCCTCTGACCGCCACCAGCAGGCAAGTTTAGGGTCAGGTGTCTTGCCCAAGGACAAACTGAGCGGGGCTCGAACCTGCAACCTTCCAATTTCAGGGCGAGCACTTGACTCCTGTGCCACCGTCACCCCACAATCCAGGGAGATCCAGGGTACGGATCCATAACTATTGGTTTGGTATTTTTACAGAGCCACCTAGAGTTATGTTTATGTTTATTTATTTAGCAGACACTTTTATCCAAAGTGACTTACAGTTTATAACCTATAGGACATGTTGTGATCTGTGGGGGGAACCGGAGTACCCGGAGGAAACCCACGCGTGCATGGGGAGAACACGCAACTCCACGCAGAAAGGCCGCAGCCGAGTTTTGAACCTGCAACCTTCTTGCTGCGAGGCAACAGTGCTAACAACTGCGCCACCATGCAGCCCAGCCCAGAGTTCTAAAAACTCTAGAGGTCGACCAGTACTGGTTTTTGGTCTATTGGTCTATTGCCGATACCGATATGTGCTGCCAATTTTCATGGCTGATTTCTAGACGTTTTTCACCTTATTTTCATGCTAAAATGTCGCTAATAACGAGTTTATGCACCAAATTTCTGAAGCTGAATCAGTTTTTGAACTCTAACTGTAAATTCTTTACTTTGTGCACTGCTCAGTGTTAAAGTCAGACACATAAATAAAGTTCATTTAGAGTATTTATTATGCAGATGTTATTGGTGAATGTAAAATTATATTCAAATTAAATTCTGCAACAGCACCTGGTGCCCGAGGATGCGCCTGACTTTAAATCGGCGGACAAATATCGGCTGATACGATGTATAAAAAAACGGTAACTATAGGCCCGATATATCAGTTTACCCCTACAAGAAACCACAAAAGCAGATGAAACACTACATCAGTGTTCTGTAATAACACACTAATCCAGCTTTAACAATATGGAGGGGAGAGGATTTCTTAAGCTCCAAAGTCTGGGGGCCAAGACTGCAAAAGCACGGTCGACCCCCGGGTGCCACTTGCAGGCCTTTCTGAGCTGAGCAAAGAGATTTTTCTGGTGAATACTGTTGCAAAAGTGCTGCTAAGTGGGGCGGTGCTGTACCAGACAAGGACCGATAAACAAATACCAGCATCTTTACAAAAATATGTTTTTTTCAATCCAGGACAACCAGGGGTGGAGTCATGTGATCCCATTTTTTGGCTCCATGGATGTACCTGATGGAGACATTCTGCACAAGCTGCATCCCTGGAAGGGAAGACTGACTCAGCCCCACATAGAGGGAGTTACAATAGTCCTGGATTGATCAAGTAAAAGCATGATAAGTCCAGCTTGATCTTGGCTAGGTTACAAATCCAGAATAGTTAGGTGAAATTAAAACTGTACACCAAAAAACATCTCATGTCTTAAGAGGATTTATTTTTATACAACTCATTTCATACTAGTCTGGATGTACCTGTGTATAATCCAGTTTTCCATCCTTGTTGATGTCTGCTAATGAAAAAATAGCATTCACTTCCTCCTCTGTCATTTTCTCTCCTCCCTGCAGAACAGAACAAGTTTCCTTTCTATCAGAATAAATTATTGACAAAATAAGTATATATTTCACTTGTGCAGTAGTCATTTACTCGTTATTACTTCCTCTTCTACACCACTATTATCTATGAGAAGTTCAAGTTTATGCCAAAAAGTTACAATGGTTGTACTATTGAAAATCACATTAGCATTATATTACCATACAAACTGTCTAAAATCCTAAATAAAAAGCAAATTGCAGGCTAGTTTCTGCAAATTTGCCAAATAAATAAAGTGGTAAAAAAACAATCTGGCTACTCACAGTGGTCAAAGCCTTTTCCAGCATACTGTGTGTGATGTAGCCATCACCATTAACATCCATTTTTCTGAATGCTTTCACCAGCTCAGCTTCCTCTGTTTTCTTCTCATGCTTGAGAATCTCACAGAAGTCATCGAAGGTCAGTTTAGGGGTTTTAGATGTCCAGTAAGCACTGAGATTGGCTTGGGATGGATTTCTACCAGCCTGCTGAAGAACTAAGAAGAATAAAGGAGAGAAACATCTGTGTTATGAGAAAAGTAGAGAAGCAGATGACAGAAAAAATATACAGCATGGATCAAAAATGTCAGAGCTTGATTGTAAACGTTTCAGTTAAGTCTGTATTAAAAAACTTAAACAGCCACACAGATTATTTAGATAACACTACAGATAGAATGTCAGTGGCAATATTTAGTGACTCTGCCTTTTTTAGCTGTTTTACAGGGTCAGGGTGAATAATCAGAGCTTTGGGGTTTTGCATTTATGCAAAAATAATCACAAGTATTAAAATGCTATGAGTTGCCACTTAGACATCCCTCCGCTTGATTAAAGCCTTAGACCAGGCATGTCCAAAGTGTGGCCTGAGGGCCATTTGCGACCCTCACAGAGATTTTGTACACCCACCCAGTATTTCTAGATTGTTTTGAAGAATCGAGAGTTTTGTCTCTTGGTGTACATCAAAAATTTTTCAACACTTTTAAAACAATTTTATAATAAGAATTTTTTAAAATACGTCTATTTCAGTCTTTTTTTAAAGTACGAATAAAAACTTGCCATAACATTATCTTTGCTTTTTTAGGGCGACGGTGGCACAGGGCACAGTGCTCGCCCCTGTACTCGGAAGGTTGCAGGTTCGAGCCCCACTCAGTCTGTTGCTGTCTTTGTGTCCTTGGGCAAGACACTTAACCCCCTCTGTCAGTGCGCCCAAGTGCAGCTGTGGCAACATCGTAGCTCATCTCCACCAGCGTGTGAATGTGTGTGTAAATGGGTGAATGACTGATTGTGTTGTAATGCGCCTTGGGGGTTTCCATGACTCTAGAAGGAACTATATCAAATACAGGCGATTTTAGATTAAAAAAATAATAATAAATACATTTTTGTGGCATGTGAGGACTTTTAACTTGAAGATTTTGGCTCTCAAATTGAAAAGTTTGAATCCCCCTGCCTAGACGTTTGAACAATAAATCCACCGTTCACCTAAACGAGCTGTTTTCACATTTGCTATTCATTGCAATATCAGTTTGAACAATATCAATATCACAAACAACTGGGTTTTTAATAATCACACACGTTTGTATTTCAAAGACATGGACTTTAATGCTGCTCTGATAGCTTCTGTCTGCCCTCAATGGCCAAACTTAGACTGGAGGACACTGGCCGAAATGCAAAAACACATTGGAACAAAAGTGGGTTTTTCGTCATGGTTATGGTCATCACAACTGTTGTATTGGTTGACCTGCACTAGTTCTGACTGCTGCAAGATAGCTTGAAAAGTTTCAGACAAAACTTAAAGTGCTTCTGACTGCATATATTTCAGATAACAGTAAAGTTTATTCTGATTTACACTGCGGTTTTGTACCTCCTGGTGGTATTTTGTCTCCATGAAAATAGAAAAAAATCTGTGCAGCAAAACGTTAAAATATGAGACTGCGGCTGATGTTAACTACAGACTGAAATGATAGTAAAAACAACAAAATATTGGACATCAAATTCCCACATTTAAATCGTACTTCCAATTTTAATTGTTTCGTGATCTGTTTAGATCAAGCCCCCACAATGCGGCTCAAAAATTGAGGCCAACCCAGAAGTATCAAAAATTGCAGTTCCACCCTCATCCGCTGGGGGCTGGTGTCAGAAGCGAGCAAATTCTCATTGACTCCCATGTTAAAAATACCAATTTCACAGCAGAAATAAACATGTTAACAGCCTGGTACCAAAACATTTTTTTGGTTTAAATGATCTAGTTTACACTCACGACAACTCTGAGGGGGGTGAATTTTTTTCTCACTCTTCTGTTTAAGTGTATTAAAAGACTAAGCTTCTGTATAATTAATGAGCATCAGACCCACGTGACCGCTGCCTCAGACCCAGGTGACCACAGAGCTAGCTCCGTGGAAAGGCCTCAGTAGAGCCTCGGTCTGGCCTGGAAACTGTTTCGGGATTTTGAGTCTCTGTGTGTGTGTATTCTGTTTTGGATATTATTTGTGCAATTGTTGGACAAAATGACTTGCTGTGGCATTAATTGCACTAATAGAGCGCCCAAGGAGTCTCCACTTCATTTTTTTCGGTAAGTAAAATTATATTTATGTATTTTAGGTCACTGCCGAGCTGAGCTTAGATTTTAACATGTACTGTTTAACCATGTAATAGGGTAAAACCCAGTGCATTTAACATAATGCTGCATTTTAGAAAATGGGTTGAAATATAACATGTTGGTGGAGCTGGGTTCCGACTATCGGCTTGTGGAGCTCTCGGGATAACTCTGTTTTCCACCCGGTTCTCCCCTCCCCGCAGCTTGGCGCATCTCTGTCTGATCGCGGCTTCTGTCTGCTGCGCGGGCTGTTGGCTTGTGGAGCTCTGGGATGGAAACCTTTCCACCCGGTTCTCCCCAGCGGCAGCTCTGCACATCTCAGATCGCAGCGGCGCTTGTCTGCTGTGCAGCTGCCGGCTTGTGGAGCTCTCGGGAGACCTCTGTATTCCACCCGGTTTTACCCAGCGGTCAGCCCGGCGTATATCTGACTCAGAAGCTCTGGTGTTGTGCACATTTAACTCCGGCTGTAGCTAGGTTGCTACCTCCGTTAGCTTAGCTCCCACCTCCGCATTAGCTTTGGGTTAGCTTGTAGCTAGTTCAACCGGGTGTCGTCAGTTGATCCCAGCCTTACCCCCAAATTCCACTACATCCGCTCCGTTCCGGTCCGCCCCCGCAGCCGCTCGCTTCCGAACTCAATTTTTACTGGTACCCGCTCTACAATGGCTCCGCTCCGGTGCGGAGACCTGAGGTGGGCAAACAAGTATGCGCGGGATTTTCGAGATCTTGCGATACAGTCCGAGCAATAAACGCGGAAGTTAGATCCAAACACCCGTTGTGTGGGAGAAGCATCGAAATGAACTGTTTAATCTGCCCATCATTTGTGTTGAGAGATCAGCAGTGTTTGGATCAACAAAGTGTGACTACTTTTATAGTGGAAACTGTATTTATGGCTTACTTTTGTGCATTTAAACTTCAGCCGCCATTGATCATTGTTAAAAGTTGTTAAACCTGTGCATATGAAACAAAAAATGCCTTTTGTTTATTGATTTATTGTGAAAAACGGAAGTTGTGCTTGCTCCTTTTCCTGTTGGGCGGTTGTGATTTCTGTCCATTTACTGCGGAGGTGCTCCGGCGTCCGGCAAAAATAGGATCGATTCTACTTTTGCCGGACGCCGGAACAGAGGGCGGCGCACTGCCGGAGCACGGCTGCAGTAGTGGAATTGCTCTGATTGACTACAGCGGGACCGATTTTGCTCCGGCGTTCGTGTCGGAGCGGAGCGGAGGTAGTGGAATTTGGAGGTTACAGCCCCACCTCTCTTCCCTTTTGTGGAATTGTCTGGGCTTGACGGAACCTGTGACACGGTCAAAATGGCGGTGGTGGCCACCTCCCATTTGGCCTCAAAAACGTGTTATTGGAGGCTTTGGAAACCCATTGTCCAATATTTATATGTCGATGGTTTAGATGGCTACGCAGCTGAATGCGGCCACATCACACATAAATTAGCTTGATGTTTAACAGACATAGCTTACCACGACACAACTGCTGCTTTGAAGTTATATTTGTCAAACTAGATCTAAACACAGCAAGGTAGGCAGCTCTGCACTGCACGTAGAAAGCCTCCTCCTCGGATGGACGAGACGAGTCCTGAAAAGCCATCCTCCTCTGTGAAAAAATCCCAACCTAGTTACCGTTAGCTTTTGTTGCTCCAACATAAAGCTAGAAAAGAACAAACAACAGCCTGAATAGGAAAATATCTTAGAATAAAAGTTATTATTTCGAATTAATCACCGGAGAATGATTTTTGTTACATGCCGGTGTCATATAGAAAAAAGTTGCTAACGCTAGTCTGTTGCTAGGTAAACAAATATCGTGCGCGTTGAAAAGGGCACGGAGGAAACAACTACTGGAAATAAAGTTCCTAGTGTTTAGAAAAAGTTTTGAGGTGATTGGAAAGTTTGAAAAAAGTTATTTTCAAAGCTTTTATACTGCTTTAAATCTGTAGTACTGAGAGATTTTTGAAGTCCTAAGATTTAAAATATAATTTATTAAAAACAAAACAAAAACAAACAAAAAAACATGTTTTATTCTAAACTGTAGGTTAAATGGTGTCCCCCCCCCCCCAAATTGTACGTCACCATCCAGGATCTTTTGTGACGTAAAAATAGAGTGTAAATATGCAAGAATTTTGCTGATAAACCATCAGTGTCACTCTGAATACTTTCTTTCCCAACTAGGAATTGAGCTTTCCAGTGAAATCCAAATATTTCTCCCCTGGTTTTACAATTCAGGCTAAAGAAATGAAAAGGGTTTTTCTATGATCACTAAGAAAAAAAATCCTGAAGGAGCTTTTTTAAGAGGAATTATGCAGAAATACAAAAAATAAATACAAACAAACAAACAAAAAGAAAACGTTATTTCTAACTAAACCAGACTGATCTTGTGTTAAAAGGTTGTAAAGTAAGTAAGTAAATTTTATTTATATAGCACTTATCACAGACATAGAATCACAAAGTGCTTCACATAGATCAAAACAAAATAAAACAGTCATAAAATCATGAATAGATTAACATCATAAAATTAAAATGCTCTCAAAACAGAATTAGATTAACATCATAAAAAATAGTCATAAAATTATAAATTTTATAAACAGATGAAAGATTAAAAATCTGGGTTAAAAATAATAAAATAAAAGATTTAGTTAAAAGCAGCTTTAAATAAAAGGGTCTTTAGCTGTTTTTTTAAAAGTGTCCAGACTGTCAATGTTACGTAAGGATAAAGGAAGATCATTCCAGAGTCAGGGTGCAACAGTCTGGATAACTGATCACCTTGACTTTTGTATCTGGTCTTTGGAACTTCTAGAAGGTTCTGGTCGGTGGACCTGAGGGCTCGGGTTAAGGCATAACAGTTCAGTAATATAGGGAGGAGCTTGACCATGTAGAGCATTGAAAGTTATAATCAGGATCCTAAAATGAACTCTAAAGTTAACGGGTTACGAGTGCAGAGACATTAGAATAGGAGTGATGTGTGCTCTTCTGTTTGCTCCAGTTAGGAGCCTCACATATTAAATCCTTTTCTCTAAACCCGGGAAGAGTCAGAATGAATCACAGTTACAGAAAACTTCCTTTGATGAGTTTCAGCAGCCAGTGGTCAGAATGACATATCCAAGTTTAACGACAGGAGACGTGAGATGATGCAGATCCATCAGTGGGAAAATTATCAGTGATTTACATAGCACTAAGAATAGTTGTCTCGGAGTCACTTAACACAAGAACCATTTCCTTAGCCAAGGCAGATATTTGGTGTCTGTTTAATTCATCAAGTTGTCTTAATGAGAACTCAGCTTTACAGGATAATTTTTGATTTTGTCATCCTGACAGTCATTTATGGACTTTGTACTTTTGTTTTGGAACTAGTGCTTCACTAAAAAAGTACCCAAATAATAATAAATAAAAAAATTATCATTATAAACTGGTTTAGAACTTTATTTTACAGTGAAAGTTAAGTTATCGCACAAGTTTCACATTTGTCATACAGATTCTCTGCCACTTTGGCACTCTATCAGTATTTTCAATGTTAGTTTTGTAATAAAATAGATATTTCATATTTTTGTGTCAAATAAAATAGCTTTATTTTCTATAGAATAGACTTTACATTGCCTTTTGCTTTAACCAGATCAGATGTTGACTGCAAGCATCACTAAAAGCCTTCATCAGACACACGAGAGCAGCAGAAAATCTGTTTTACAAAGCATTTGGTCCTAAATCTTTCAAATATACAGAAATGGCTTCCAGCTGGCTGAGGGATGATGGTTTAATTACATGTTGAATATTCAGGCTTTTCTTTTAGAACAGAAAAGGTTTTTCTTTCTTCATTATTCCAGAATAAACCTTTCTCTTTTATTTTATTCTGCTTTTGGGAGTGTGTGTTTGTGTTTTTGTGTATTCTCCTAAGTCACCAGAGGGCAGCAATGAACAAGAACATTTAACATTTGTTCTGCTCAGTTAAAGATAGTAAAACAGAAGAAATCAGTATGGCTGGGCTTTGTCGTTACAGTTAAATATGATTATGATAATCAAAAACCACTGTCAGTTGAATATTATAAAACATAGGAATTACCAGTGGGTAACAGTGCACAAATGGAGTAAAAATGTAACAAAAGAAAGGCTAAATATTTGTTTAAAGTTTAAAAAATTAATTATTTAAAATAAAAATGTCCTATTACATTTCTGAAAACCTGAAAAAAAAAACATTTAGGTAGAAGAAACAAATATTAAAATATAAATTTAAATCACAGTTTAACACAGTAGCTTTTTGCTGCTTCGTCAGGGTCTTTTTTCAAATACTGTTGTTTTATTTCCGATTCATTAGTCACTTAAAGGAAATACATTAATGATTTACACGTAAAACTGATTTTCTTACTCATCACTTCTGGGCCATTTGGAAACAGTTAAATGTAATTAGCATTCAGATTTAATCAGAAATTTAACTTAAACCATGAGGAAAGACTTCTTTTCTACCAGAAAGGGGAACTTTTTCATCTAAATGGTGACTCCACAAATTCCCCCTTCTCCCGTGTTTATTGACGAGATTGTATCTCCACATGAGGTGACGACATTTGGGATAAAAAGGAGAACAAATGCAGTCACAAGACCGTTTGATTCTTATGGAGATCACCGTGTGCTTCGTCTTCTCTATTTAATAAGCTTCTTCCGTGTATCTTCTTTTATCTTTGACTTTAACATCAATGGTTGCTTGTTTGGGTTGTGTGCTGCACGACCTTTGGTGAAAAACAACATTTTGTTATGGTTGCACAAACAAGTCAATGAGTAGATTTCCTAGGGAAAGAATTAATTTGATTATTTTAGGCACATATTATGCCCGCAGCAGAGCAATGCTTGTGATTCAATCGTACAATGGGGACTTGTGGGAAATGAATGGAGGTATTGTCAGGAGGCAGGCTTGTTTTCTGATGAGGTTGTTAGAAATTATTTTAATTCGTTCCAGTAAAAGAGCCAAACATACATATTACATTGTGGACCCACACCCCAAGAATGTCACATTTTTGTCACATGGCGGATCCGTGAAATTTATCAGTTTTGTATAAACCTCCTTACAACAACAGAGCTCACGATGTCAGAGCAGAAAGAATCAGCCCTCTATGTACACTGAGACACACATTTTAAGTAAACTGTTATTCAAAGCTGCTGAAGAGCTCTGGTCCATATCTGCTGGGAGCATAAAATCCAGACAGTCGATGGTGATCACTACTCTAGTGTGGTGTTTTCATAGATGGACATGGCCTTTAGACTCTGGACCCATGTAATGATTGTTTAAAAACACACTAGAAACTGAGACCGAGAACTTAGCCTCATCTGTGCATAATGAATAGAAACGTGATATCGTTTATGGTATCTAGTGATGCACCGATATGAACTATTTGGGCCAATACCGATATTTGCTCATTCACTGCCAGTCGTTTCCTATCAGTAAAGCCCTTTGGTACCAGCGTTTTCAACGTTTTTACTGTTTTTGTTAAGAGTCACAGAATGATGTGCTAGGATTATGTCGACAAAACAAAGAGGAGGTTCACCTCTTACATCAGGAAGAATCCGCACGTTTCGAGCTTTATCCGTTCTTTCATAACCCGTTGTGGAATTGTGATCGGCAGAAGCCTTTCCGGTTCGCGCCTCACTTTTTTGTTACAGCAGCGGCCCAAAACGATTTCCTAACACATGGATTTTCTGCTTCCTGGTCACGTGACGTGTGACATACACAGATGAAGATCGGCTTTAGAGCTGGGATGTTTGTTCTCCCGGTGAGGGAGCTCGTTCCGACTCCCGTCCAGTAAATAAATGCAAATGACGACTATTGTCGTCAATGGCAGTGAATGAGATAATATTACTGTTGTGGCCGGTAACCGATATTTGCAGATACCAATATACTATTAATGCTTCTAAAATCAGCAAATCAGATTTTGTAAAGCATGAAAATTATTAAAGCTGAATTTACATTATTATGTGCACACAACACACACATTTACGCTTCTAAAATCATATATATATAATATTGGTTGTCAATATCGGCCCAGTTTAATTTATCAGACCGATGTCGATATGTTGCAAAATGACTAACATCGGCCGACACTGATACAGATGAAGATATATTGTCCATCCCTAGTATCTGTGTTATTTAGAAGACCTAAAGCCATACTATGCATCTTTTTCATATTTTTAAATTATTCCCTTGAGCAAGTATGTGCTAAACCCTTTACAGGTTTAATGAAGTGTCAGGCAGACCTCCGCCGCCCTCTGTGGAAATAATACTGCACTTGTAACTTCAGAGTGCGTGTCTGATCCCTGTTCGACTGAAAATGGAGCTGACATACCTGGCGCTGCAGTCTGGTTCCAGCACGTTCCCTGCATGTTTTAAATCGTGAACACAGCTGATTTGTTTGATTTAGTGATGATTCACACCTGTAGGAACTAATGAAGGCTAAGGAGACATTTCAGCTTAGATTAAGGTGTCAAAAAGACACCGAGGAGATAATTTTCACTTTGCTTGAACTAACAAAAACCAAGAGGGTGTTAAATCAAGTCAAACTGAAAAGTATCCCTTTAAAACACATTTACAGGCTTTGAGGTTTCTTATTCTATTAAAAAAACTTTATAGGTCCTAGAGGGGAATTATATGTTGCTGTTTTATCATATGTATGTATTATGATATTATTCAAAAGTAATGAGTTATCTTTCTAGTAAAAAAATGTAGCATAAATTTTGAACAATTTGCACCTTATTATCTGAGAAAGATGGCGGCAATTTTGATCACGACACACAATTTTATACGTCAATCCATCCATTCATGTGATCTATTTCATCCACCCATCTTGTGAATGG